GGAAGCCATGTACACAGCCACACAAAGAGCACTTAGCAGGACACAGCAAGTGATAAGGGCCTGAGGTTGGAGTGTGCAAGGTGTGTGAAGAGCAGTGGCAGGTTGGCATGAGGGAAGCAAAGGAAAGGGAGTAGAGGGATGAGCACAGGAAGGCAGGTTTTGGCTTTTGTAGCATCTTAGGATTTTACCATGGGAGGGGCAGGAACCATTGCTGGTATGGAGCGAAGAAGTCTGCTCCATACCAGCAATGGTTCCTGCCCCTCCCATGGTCTGACTTTGGGAAAGGACCACTCTGGTTGCTATGCTGAGGAGACACTGGAAGGGTGCAGGGACAGTAGCTAGGGGTACGAGTTGGATCAGCAGCTGGCTTATTGCAATAATCGAAATGAAAGTGAAGAGGACTGCACTGGGCACATTCAATGATCTTGCAAGATGGTTGTTAAACACAGCATTATTAGAAATTAAATTATATAAAGTGTACAATGAGATAAAGTTTTATTAAAAACAATGATAATGAAACTCAAAACCCACTCCTTCCTAATTATTTTGTTACATTTTACTATCATCTATGCCTTTGAAGTTATTCCTACACACATGTGTGGTGGTTGTGCTGTGCCGTGGTGGTGTAGCACTGCACGTCTTTTCTCAGCTCTGTGCCCATGCCACGGCTACAGTGGGAAGATGTGCACCACAGGAACAGGCAAACACTGCAGGCCAGCACCTGCCCTCCAACCATAGTTGGTCCTTAAACAGCATCATACTTCTGCTGGTTGTGGTGGGGTGGTTACCAGTGGAAGATGCTGGATAGATTTCAAAGGCTGGTGGATGGTGGAGTAAGAGCAGCTATTCTTCGTGGGAAATGCTGGCCAACTGTACAGGCTGAGGGAGGGGTGGGCAAACCTCTGGAAATGGTGGCCATGTGCCTGGAACAAAGCCTGACACACAGTAGGTGCTCAGGAAATAGTGCTTGCTGAATGAATTTGTGCCCTTTCTGCCCCTACAAATCACTGGATAGGGCTATACCCAGCTGCAGCCTAATAAGATGCTCGTTTCAGAGAATGGAAAGACCAAGTAAAATTGTCAAGGGAGAGAGAAGAAAGCAGAGGCAGGCTTTGGCTACTGTTGGGGCCAGGGCAAGGATACTCATTGCCAGACAGATGGTGTCCACTCTGGCACCTGCTAGCCTCAGGACTTGGGGCTCTCCCTCAGGGACCCCCCTTCCCATGTCCTCTTTCTGTTTGCTTTTCCTGGATCTTTTGTGGCCTTTGGGGAAATGGACTTTTCACACAGAGAAGACTCAAGGAATGGGGAAAAGTGACACCTACAATTCCAAATTGACCCTATTCCTCTAGGGAATAGGCTATGCTCCCTCCCACAGCCCTCAGCAGGCCCCTAGGACTGACAGGGCCAATATCTTCAGCAAACAGCATGGCTTTTGAGGGCTGGCCTTGCTGAGCTGCCCACTTTAATAAGGCCTCTCATTGTGCACTCTCCTTTGTCGAGTAGACCAGCCATTCTCTCTATCTTCAGGTTACCTGCTGCTCCCTGTCTCTGCCATGGCCTCCTCTCAGTACTCTACACCTGCTTTCCAGTATTTATCACTTCCTTTAGGAAGCCTTCTCTGGAGGGAGGGTTGGGTGCTTCCTCCCCTCCCTGCAGAGTAACAGTTGTATGAAGTGGGTTGCTTGTTTAGCCTAAGGGCAGGCCCTGATCTGACAAAGACCAGAGAATGATGTCAGCTCAGAGAATGATGGCTGGTTGGTTTGTCCTTTCTGTGCTGGCCCCATCTGCAGTTTGAAGGCCCGAAGTACTGTGAACATGACTTCCAAATGCTATTTGCTCCGTGCTGTGGATCATGTGGTAAGTGCTTGGGACAGCACATGCCTCTGGGTGGCTTGGGAAGTTGATGGGCAGGATCATGGGTAGCTCTTCCCCGGATGCCATGTCTCCCTGAGCACTGGCCTTCAGGCCTCTATAGACATTATTTTCCCAAGCTCTGGGAGGAGTTCCTGGACCAGGTAAAGCACCAGTGTGGACAGGGCTTGGGGGTAGGGCTATGTGTCCTGCCTTGGCAAGCAGGGACCTCTCTCTTTTAGGTAAATTCATCATTAGCTATGTCATCAAGGCCATGAACAGCAACTGGCACCTGGGATGCTTCTGCTGTGAGCTGTGTGATGTGGAGCTGGCTGACCTGGGCTTTGTGAAGAATGCAGGCAGGTGAGATGGGCCTGCCCAGGTGAGATGGACAGGAAGGAGGGTCTCTCATCACAGGCACCATGCACTGAGCACCAGGCTCGTTCCAGGTACTGTGGCCTGTGCCAGTGTGGCTGCCTGGCTTACCATGTCCCTGCCAGGCAGGTAGGAGGGCCCAGCTGACAGGTGAAAACTGGGGCTGGAGAGAGTGAGGGGTAAAGAATCTGGGTCCACCTCAGGCTTGGGGATGTTCCCAGGAGCAGGCTTATTGCATACAGCAAGGAGGAAGGTGGCCAGAGTAGGAGCCATTAGACCTGTGCTTCCAGTCTAATGAGCTTTGAATCAGATTACTACCTCCTGGCCACCCCACTCTGCTGACACTAGCCATCTGCCTCCCACCTGCACCCATGGCTGGATGCTTCTGGAGAGAAAGCTCAGGGAGGGGGTTCCAAATTCATTCTTAAATTCAGGGCTGTCAATCTCATTGATGCTCAGTGCTTAAGCTCCATCCTCTGGGAAGAGTTACTACTTTTACTTCTCCCCTCCTCTTACCACTGTCTCCACTGCCCACCCCTGCTCCCTGCCCCAGGCTGATGACCTCCCCTCCCACCTGCCTGAGGGGACAGCCTCTTGGGGCACCCTTGCTGCCCAGCATCTGTGCTGCCCATAGCCTGCTTGTGTCTCTGCACTTTCCCAAAGCACTGCTCACCCTGCACCTTTTTGAGAGGGCTTGAGGCTTGAGTAGCTCTCTTTCTCCTTTTCTAAAGGAACAGGCTGGGTAGTTTCCATGGGCCAAAATGCCCTCTGAGTTCCTCCTACATGATTCTCAATTCTCTGCAGAACTCCCCAGCACACATGCTGGCTCCTCTCATCTGCTCCTCCCCACTGCCTAGTTGGGGTCCCCATGGCCTCCACATTGACAGGCCCAGAGATCGCTGCCAGCCTCTCAGTGGTTTTCACTATAATTACCCTCTTTCTTGCTTAAATGCTTCCTCTCTCGAAGCCCAGGCCCCTGTGTTCTCTTGCCTGTCTCCTCCTCTGGTTTACCTTCCTCCATGCCTCCATGTTGGGTTATTTTGGGCTCTGCACTTGGCCCTCATGTCCACCCACCCTCCCAGAGCCCTAAATGGCATGTATGTGTTGAATAATTCAGATGTACACTTCTACCCAAGACCTCTCCGGTGGGACACTCAGCTGACCTCATGACATCTCCACTGGTGTCCATCCAGCAGGCATCCTAAATGCAGTGGGTCCCAAATGACTCTGAGCCTCTCCTTCACTGACCACCAAGTCTCAGGGAAGAGCTGCAGCTACTTTGCGATCAATACGCTAGCTGTCTGCTGCTTCTTACACTCTCCTACCTGGGCACTCGTCACCATGTCTATTCTGACATAGCACCCCTCACTCCTTCCTGATGCTACTATAGTAATCTTGACTCTTGCTTGCCCCATACTGCCCTGTGTCCATCTGGGTATCTGTAGGCTACTTTGCAGGGTTCTCTACAGGGTACTTAGCAGTAGCTTTAGTTCATTTGAGAGGCATGGTGGGCAGGCAGCTCCTTGGGGTTCCTGTGCTGATCAGTGGGCAGGTCCACCTGCCAGGTGCATGCCTGTGCAAGTCCTGTACTGCCTTGTTGGGAAAATCTGGAAGAGGCTAAGAATGCTCAGGAAATTTAAGACATGGTACAAAAGTAAAGTTTTGCTGTAATGAATGGGAGCAGGGCCCTTGCTTGGACCCTCAAACCTGGGCTAGCCCTCTGAAGACCACAGTGCAGCACCTTGGGGTCTATGTGGGGTAGGCACACCGTGGGGTGTCAAAACCACAGTCAAGAGCATGTGCTGCCTGTTCCTCCTCTCTTAGCCTCTGTTTTGCCATTGTTGGATTGAAGGAAGAAGTTTGGGGAAGGGTGTTGTTAACCAATCACAATAACCTTCAGAATCTAAAGTACAATTATTTTTTTTTAAAGATTTTACTTATTCATTTTCAGAGAGAGGGGAAGGGAAAGAGAAAGAGAGAGAGAGAGAAACATCAATGTGCGGTTGCCTCTCACGCGCCCCGTGCTGGGACCTGGTCTGCAACCCAGGCATGTGCCCTGACTGGGAATCGAACCAGTGACCCTTTGGTTCACAGGCCTATGCTCAATCCACTGAGTCACACCATCCAGGGCTACAGTTATGTTTATGATCACTATAATCAAGTGCATACAAAAAAGGACCCGTTAAGGTAATGCATGCCACCCTGTGAAGTGAAATAGATCACAGCTTGGCCAGTCCAGGCAAGTAGAGGCCTCTTGGGAGGGAGTATGGTAAAGGACACCCCTACTGGGTCTGGGTTACTGGAGGCAGATTCACACACCAAGACCCAGTTCCCTGCCCAAGGTATTCTCAGGCAGTGATGGAGCCTGGTTGTCCACTCATGCTGTATGTGTGACCAGGACTGGGCACCTGCTGAGAAGCTCTGGGGATTGTCAGGCCACTGGCAGGTCTCTGTAGGTTTACAGCAGGAGGCATCAAGAAGTGATGTTCCCCCTGAACCATGGTTGCTGGATGTCACCTAGTGACCAGCCTGAAATCTACTTACAGTTTTCAGCTATAATTCATCATTTGTGGCCCCTAAACTCAGGGGTCATCTGGCAAAGGTGCCACAAAGCAACCTCAAAGCACCTTGCATGTCACAGGAAATATTTGGACATGCCTCCTACCCCTCACAGGATTCCTGCTTCTTCTCATGGGACAACTGCAACCACCTTCTGGGTTCTTTACTCAGAATTTTGTTGCTGTGTGTTTCCCTAATGGAAAGGAGGCTGAGCAGCAGTCAGGAAATAAAAACACTCATCGCTCAGGAGTTATTCCTCTGGCCTCCTCGCCTGTCTTACTACAGGGCAAAGTCACTAATTACCTAATAGCTATAAGCAAGCTGGGCCAACACAGTCTGCAGAGGGGGCAGTTGATTCACACAGTTCTCCTCTTTAGGGGTTTGTGCATCAGATCAGTCAGAACTGGACACTAGGTAATGAATTCTGACCTTGGAAGGAGTGGCAGTAATTCACTGAGATTTCAGTTTCTTTTTTCAGAGTGTGGCCTGGGAGAAATGGGCTTCTTCTTTGTGAGTCTGGGAGAAACCTCAAAACCCTAAGGGAGTTGTCCTGAGACAGTCTGCAGCAGGTTCAGGTGGTGGCTGGAACTCACAGCTCTGACCTGGCACTCAGGGAGCTCTCATTGGTTTTCCCTTCAAAGCTGGGAGGTGGGCCTGAGAGCCTTTTGCCACTGAGCAGGTTACACAGGGTGTTTCGAAACTTCTCAGCCACAAAAAAGTATATGATGGGATCGAGTGCCCCATTGAGGCTGGTAAGGCAGGAAGTGATCCGGTTCCCCAGGGCCAGGGCATGCTGGGCAGTGCATGAGGCACCACTGCTGTGGAAGTGCAGCACGTAGACAAAGCGATGGACATGGTAAGGCACGAAGCAGACCAGGAAGATGGTCAGCACCATGGCAATCATGCGGACTGCTTTGTTCCTAAGGCGCTTCTCTACACGGGGCCCCTGCTGCAGGCTGCGGATGATCAGCAGGTAGCAGGTAACAGTGGTGACAAATGGGAAGGTGAAAGCCACAGCTAAGGACATGAGTGCATGGTATGAGGCCTTCTCCCGGTAGAGCTGCAGGCAGATGACTGTGTGGTTGGTCTGCACGGTTTGTGGGCTCACCAACAGTGGGGCCATGGCCATGGCCACCACCACCCAGAGGAAGGCACAGGCCAGGTGTGCATAGAGAGGCCTACGGAGTTTGAGGGACTTGACAGGGTGCACAATGGCCAGGAAGCGGTCAGCACTGATGCAGGTGAGGAAATAGATGCTGGCATACATGTTGAGATAGAAGAGGAAGCCGGTAAGGCGGCACGGGATTTCCCCAAATGGCCAGTGGTTCCCTGCGAAGTGGTAGACAAAGCGCATGGGCAGGACCAGCACACAGGACAGGTCTGCCATAGCCAGGTGCATCAGGAATACATTTGCAGGGGTGCCTGGTCTGCGGTCCTGGATGAAAAGCCACAGGGCCAGGGCATTGCCGACAAAAGCCAGGAGAAAACTCAGGAGGTAGAAAGAGGCAAAGAAGACATTCTGCAGCCATGTCTCCTGGCCACACTGGTCTGCAGTGCCCAGGGAAGAGTTGGCCATCAGACCTGGAGAGGCTGTCTCAAGGCCATTCATGCTTCAACTGGAGGCAGAGCCTAGGGATGAGCCTGGAAGGAAAGTGGACAGACCCCAGTCAAGCACTACCCTCTCTGGAATCCTCAGAAAGAATATTGGGATGCCACAGAACCTGCCAGTCCCTAACCACAAGAGCCATGCTGTCTCATGCTCAGCATTTCCTGAGAGGCAATGGGAGCATCTCCTGAGTCATTCTGTGTCACAGGCTTTCTCAGCTTCACCAAACCCCACAAACAGACCCAGGGCTTGGAGCTTGCCAGGCTGTTGCTGGGCTAACTTCTCTGGGAGGCTGTGCCCTGCTGAGTTTTCCAAAGCCTTTGCCTGGCCCATATCCCAGAGTCCATTGTCTCAGACCCAGGGCAACAGTCAACACCACGAGGAAAGTAGGGGGTGAACCCTGTCTGTCTGAGGCTATGGGAGTGGGAGAGTGGAGGAAGGGGTCCCATATTTTCTGTCCTGATCCTCAGCTGTACTATGTGTGTGGCAGGGTGGCAGGGGTGATACCTGAGCCCCACCTTTAATGGGCAAAAGACTAGTGTGTGGACCCCTGCCAGCTCCTCTGTAGTCTTGGCTTTGCAAGGTGAATTCTGTTCACCCAAGGTCCCAGGACCCTCCCTGACCCACCTGCTTCAGTGGCCTTGACGAGCATAGCTGCTTTCACCTTCCCTGCTGCCAGCCCTGACCACAGCTCCCTGGCACCTGCCATGGAGGAGGCCTCACTAGAAATGCAGATATGGGCTGTGTCCCAGGTCAGAGGCCTTCTCTGTCTGCTGGCACCCAAAGGCCATACAGGTGCAGATCCCAAGGTCTCTCGAGCTTTCTTGGACTCAGCCCAAAAACTCTGTTTTGGATGCCCTAATGGGTAGAGAAAGACTCGCACTCAGGCCTCAGGCCAGCAGGATTTGTTTTACTACTCAGAGTAATTTAAAAGCCTGGAACAGATTCTTTCCTAAGAGAGATAAAGCTATTTCACCCAAAGGAAAAGACTGGCCAGGGTTTTCTAGATCTGCAGCCCCAGAAAGGCTGGGGCCTGGAGGACACCTGTCTACCTGGTTTCACTTGCCTGCTTTACCCACACCAGAGAGGCCAGCTAAGAGCCCTGTTGGCCTTGGCAACAGCCATTTTACATCTGGTGAACCCTGGTTCTGGTGGATGTCCTCCCCAACAGACAGGATAACATGCTCATGGTTTGATTTTTGGTCTACTCAAGAGATCCTAAAAGAAGATGGTAGGACTCCTTCACTAGGCCTGGGAGTGGGAGGTGTGGTTAGGAGAGGGCAGGATGGAGGCAGCCCTCTAAGCAGGGATCAGGGAGGCCACGGGCCCTGCTTCTCCTGCCCTGGGGCTGCTCCTGCCTTGTTGCTCCTGCCCTGGAGTCGCTTACAGGCTTCAGCTTGGTGAACTCTCTCTCACCTGCAGTGCAGCTTCCAGAGCTCCTGTCCTCTGTGTTGGGACTGATGAGGGGTGGAAGAAGGACTGTTCACAGGAGAAAAGAAGCATTCTAGCAGTGGAGGAGAAGCCCAGGCTACAGCCAGGACATGGAGTTGGGGACTCCACAAGTAAGGTGTGACCATGCAGGTCACATAGTCTATTGTGGCTTTAGGTGGGCCTGCCAGCACCTGGCTTTCTGCCTTCTACCCAATACCCTTGACCTCAAACCCCTGCTGAAGGCTGCATGGGTGCATGCTCTCAAAATGCTTTTAAAATGCTTGGTTTGAAAATGCTTTTATGCTTGTTTTTGGTTTGTTGAGGTTTCTCTATCCCTTACCCATTTTAGGAGTTTTCGTATTGATTTTGGCAGTATCTGAAATAGACCCATTTCATTCTCTGTGCATGCCATAGACACATGAGCCTGGCCTGCATGCACCCCTCTGTGCTGGGTTCCTCTGCTTAGGGAAGAGAGGCCGAGGGTGCATGAAGTGCAGCCTGGCCAGTGCCAACTGGGGTTGGCATGGTTGTGGGTAAGGGGAGCAACAGAGAGGGCATATGTGGCCATAGTAGGAGGCCTCAGTGGCAGTCCTGTGGTAGGCAGGCAGCCTGGCACCTCTCCGTCTTGGCTCCTCATCTGATTTTTCCTGTGCTCTATAACCTAGTGGTGAGAAGCCTGGGTACCAGCTCATTGTACTGCAGGTCTGAGGCAAGGAACTGTCTGTAAGCCCAGCAGGTTAGACAAGGACACTGCCTTGCGGGACTGCTGTGATTCAGACTGGGGTATCTTCCAGACATAGGTTCTACCATGCTCTCAGAGAGGGATCTCAGGGACAGGCACAGCTCCCCCCTGCCCTGCTTTAAGTTCCCTCTGCTTAGCCCCTGAACACCTTACCCGCCCCCGCCCGCCCTGGCCCTTACCTCTTGCAGCTGGGTGCAGGTGAAGGGGCAAGAAGACTGAGGCGTGGCGGTAGTCTCTCAGTGTCGCCGTGGTAGAAGGCCAGATATTTAAGGAGAGGAGGGGAGGTGGCAGCCCCTCTGATTCTGAAAGACCGCTTCATTCCCAAGGGGTCCCTTGTGTGGTGGGCACTCCTATAGCTGCCTCTGCTGCCACTGTGCTGTGAATATTCCAGTGTGTCCCAGCCCAGGAGTCCCCTCCCGGCCAAGTCCCCAGCTTGGCCCCTGAGCATCAAAGAGGCTGAGTGTATGTCTTTGAAGCTTCAGAGTTGGTGCAGGCTGGGTGGGGGGACTGGCTGGGGCTGACAGACACAACAAGACATTTCAGAAGGGGACAATTTCCTACCACTGGGAGTTACTTGGAGGGGTTGGCTGCCATGGCAATGGGCTCAGGCTCCCAAGCTTGCATGGGAGACAGTGGAGGGGTCTTGTGAGTGGGGAGGGTGAGAGGCTGAGGAGTCTTGTCTGGCTGAATGAGAGGGGACCTTTTCAGGACTCTTGATGTAAGATCCCTGTGTCCTGCCTGGTATAATTAGGCTCCATTGGGGTGTGTGGAACAAACCATGGCCTTTATCTTAAACAGGGCACAGCTGCAGGCTGTATATAATGGGGCGCTGTCTGTGGCTATTGGGACCACTCAGTCTGGAGGCTCTGCGTGGGAGGCCTGTGAAGGGGCCACTGCTACCCACTGGCCCTCAAGACTCATTTTAAGGGTGTTCAAGGCTGGGGTGTGTTATGCTCCGTAAAGCAGAGAGCAGTGTTAGGCCCATGAACCCAGGTCCAAATGAGGAGCAGGCCCTGCGGTCAAGGGCTGGACCCTGGGTGGGCTGCCCTGCCATCCAGGATCTGCTTACCACCCCTGACCTGAGAGTAATCTTCAGTGGACTCCCTGAACTGCCTGTAAAGGGGCCAAGTTCGGGATCAGGTGAGTGCTGGAGAGGCTCCTTGTGGACTGGGAATCTGGAAACGGGGGGAGGTGGGCCTGGCTACACAGGCCCACTTGAAGATCAGGGATAGGTGGGAATGGGAGTGATGCACTGGAGCCTTTGCACATCGTTGCCAAGGACCTAGAATCTAAATTCCTTTCATCTTTGAGACTCAGAAACACAGAAACCATGTTAATTTCTCTCAGTAGAGACCACAGCTGTTGCGCAGTGCAGGGAGCAGCATCAGGAATTACTCTGAGGTGTACACAAAAAAGACTCTGTAATGATATTTCCTGGGTTTAGATGCCTCCATCTGACACAGCCCTGCTTGTCTTTGGCACCAGAAAGAGCCTGTAGGTGTTTGGCCCCTCTTTGTCTGGCAGACCCCAAAGGAAGGCTTGTGTGGGCTACCAAACCTGGTCTTCCGTGGCCACTCCGCTGGACATGGCAGGGTTGTAAGTCTAATTGTTACTATATGGCTACTCGTGTTAAAAGACATTTGAAAAGTAAAACTAATTTTTTGGGGGAAAGTCAGTGAAATCTCCATTCTATTCCACACAATGTCCTGGGCTCAGAAGAAGTGGGAAGAAGAAAACTATCATGTTTGCTGTACCACCCTAAAACAGCAAATACCACCATTCTTGTGTATGGTCTCACAGTCTTTCTCTTTATGCAGAGACTCCTTTTGGAGAATGTGTCTGAGGAGTTGCAGGACTGGCCAGCTTGCTCTGTGGACCTTGTCTGAGCCTCTTGAGGCTCACAGATGTTCATTAAAAGCAGGGTGGGTCAGGGATCCCTTCTGGGAGGTGGCCCAGGCTGTCTGAGAGGAAGGGGAGGGTGGGCACTCTACCTCAATACCCACCTGCCTCTTATAGGCACCTGTGTTGCCTTTGCCACAACCTTGAGAAGGCCAAGGGCCTGGGCAAGTACATCTGTCAGCAGTGCCACACGGTCATTAAGAAGCAGCCCTTCATGTTCAGGAATGACTGGTACCACCCAGACCACTTTAGCTGCACCCATTGCAGGTACTTGTAACAGGAACTGGTGGAGAGTAGGGTGGGAGTTCCTCCCGGGGCAGCGATGGAGCAGGAGAATGGGGCGCTGGGAGGAAGTGGATGGGCCTGAAAGGCACCGCTGCAGGAAACCCCTTTCTCCAGGGCTCTGTTTAGGGAGGATGTGCATAATCCAGGTTTGTGACTCAGGGGTGAGCGAGGGCTGGGCCCCTGGAAGAAGCTGACAGGAAGGAATCAAAGGCATGGAGAACAAGAGTGAGGAGTAGGGGCTGCTGCTGGTCTTGGAGAGTGAAGGAAAGAGAAACTGCAGAGCCATCCCTTCATGGCTGTCCCAGGCCCATTTGGTGTGGTAGGGCCTAGAGAACAGATAAGCTTCTCAGAGGACAGTACTTTCATGGGCTGCCTTCTGCAAGTACTATGCTGGAATTCTGTGCCCTGGGGCCTGAGGCAGCGGAAATCCCCAAAGAGATCAAAGAGCCGTTTGCCCAGGGTGCTCTGCTGGGACAGAGTAGAGCCTCTCAGGAAGCTGCTCCCTGAGGCTGGAAGGGCTGCACTGAGCCCCTGCCAGTGTGAGCCCTGAAGAATCACAGGGACGTCATCTGGGGGCTCTGCATTGTCTTTTAGGAAGGAGCTGACTGCTGAAGCCTGAGAGCTGAAGGGGGAGCTGTACTGCCTGCCGTGCCATGACCAGACGGGTATGCCCATCTGTGGTGCCTGCCGTCGGCCCATTGAGGGTTGGGTGATCAATGCATTGGGCAAACAGTGGCATGTGGAGGTAGGCGAGTCTGGCCCAGACAGGAGGTGGGGGTGCCCTGGCTCTCGGCCACAGCGGGAATCTGGCTAGGCAGCCCCTCCACACTCCCAGCCCCAGGCTGGGTGGCTGGCTCCCAGGAGGCACCTTTCTCTTGGGTGCTTTCCCTCCTCACCCCTGACCTAGCACCAGCTCATCTGTGTGAACCAGGAGACCACCTTCCTTCTTCCCCTGCTGGCTTTCTAGGATTCCAAAGTCATGAGAAAGCCATAGGGATTGTAGGATTGTGGTTGACAGAACTGGCTGTGTCTATAGTCCCATGTACACACAGAAGCTAGGTATACCTGTTGGTGAGTTCTTCAGGTGGCCTGAGTTACATGGAGCGCTCCCGTGCACTGCGGGCTCTAATAGTATTATGGACATTACTTGGAAAGGAGGATTTCGATCCTTAATACCCTGGCTAGCTCCAGGTCCCAGATCTGCCTTGGGTAGCACCTTTGGGAAATTCTTGTTGCAGGCCTGGCTCCCAGCCCTCTGTGGGTGGCTGAATCCTTGCTGAATGGAAAGATGCTGCTCAGTGACTCTGGGGCTTGTAGGGAAATGCCCACGTGTGACTCCAGGGCTTGTAGGGGAGTGTCCCTGGAAGGCAGACACACACAGCCTTCCAAGAAGGTACCATGCAAATAACAGAACAGCCCCAACTGGGAGGGCCCAGAACACTTCACTAGCACCTGACAACTTGGGTCAAGGTTGCTAGTGATGCAACAGGCCCAGAGAGGACAGTGATGTGCAGGATCACTCACTGGGCATTGGGGTCACTGCTCTAGCCCTGACCTGCCCTGCATTGCCCCTTCTGTGCTTAGCACTTTGTTTGTGCCAAGTGTGAGAAGCCATTCCTAGGGCATCGGCACTGTGGGAAGGAGGGCCTGGCTTACTGTGAGACCCACTACAGCCAGGTGAGGCCTGGGGCAGAAGGTGGGTTGGCAGGGCCTGCAACAGGGCAGATTTGGAAAGGAGGCTGCCTGCCCTTGTTGGGGGCTGAGGGATTTTGGACAGCCTGCAGGGAGGTAGGCTGGAGAGGCTGCTGTGAGAAAAACAGGAGGTCAGAGCAGGAGATTCTGTGGGCAGCCTGCCTAGTAGTCTGCTGTGGTGCTGATGCTCCCAGTGCAGTGTCCTGGGCAGCCCTCCCTGCCTTAGTGTCCTCATTTGACAAATGTTCTCCTATGGCCCAGGTCTCTTGTGGGGACTGAACAAGTTAACTGTGTAAAGTCCTGGGTTCATGGGGCTGACATGTGCCATCAGCCTCCTTCCTCCTGCTATGTCTGGCAAGGCTACCCAGCTGTTCTGGTATAGGAGACAGGGGTTACTGCCCTGGTCCATACCCTTCAGGAACAAAGGGGCATTTTGAGGAGCAATGCCTCAACCTGTTGTCCTTCTGAGGGGTTGATTCTGATGTGCCATGGGTACCCTCACCTCAGGCCTGAGGCTGTATCCTAGAAGGACGGCCAGGTGGCCTAGATAGATACTGAGGGCTTTGGGCAGAGGGGCAAAGCAGGGGCTAAGCCATACCTTTGGTCTGGGGCTGGGACACTGCTGCCTGTATGTTTGGTATCTTCTTGGTCCACAGCTCTTTGGGAACATCTGCTACAGCTGCCACCATGTGATTGAGGGTGATTGTAAGGCACTTCTGTTCTTGTGTCCCCTCCTCCCCCTGTCCCCCTTCACTATCCCTCTGGGCTGTGGGTCCTGCAGCTGTGGACCTAGCTGGCCCTCACTTTGCACAGCTGGGCCTGTGGTAGAGGCCTGCCAAGCCAGAGTCCCATCTGCCCTCACAGTGGTTTCAGCCCTCAACAAGGCCTGGTGTGGGAACTGCTTCTCTTGCCACACCTGCGATAATAAGTTCAACCTGAAGTAACTCTTGCCAGCCTTCCAGGGGGAACTGCACACCATTTTCCTTCTCCATGGAGCATATCAAGGGGCTCCAGACCGAGTGGGCTTTTTATGGGCTCTGCCTTTCATCAGGCCTTCCTGGTCACTTTCTGTTGTCAGGCCCTGGGGGGTGCAGTGGAAGCAAGGGGCAGCTCCAGCCCCATGGAAGGAGGTCCAGAGACCCCCAGGGCATGGTGGCAGGAGGAATACCACACATTCACAAGGACATTGCGCTCTGGGGAGGGAAGGGCTTTGCAGCCCAAGGAACAGCAAAGTCAAAGGCAAAAGAATCAGACTGCTGCCTCATCCAGGAAGCCAAGAAAGGTGCTGTGAGGTGAGGTGGAGCAGGTTTCTGAGGAAAACTGGGAACATGGTGGGTTCTGAAGTGTCAGAATCTGAGAGAAACCTTTAGGAGGGAAGGGAGGCCTGGAGGCCCATCTCCCTGTCCACCGGGACCTTTGGTGAGAAGCTCACCATGGGGTCTGGCCTACTGGCTGTGGCAGGCTGGTGGGGAGGCTGTGGGCTAGGGGAAGAGGGAAAGCAGCTTCTCAGGCTTTGGCTCTGTGGGCTGAGGAAGACCTGGCTCAGAGCCGATAGGGCAATGGGGCTCTCTTGACTGCTGCACTTCCTCCCCAGGAATAAGTTTATAGAGTTTGACATGAAGCCCGTGCATAAAAGACACTACAAGAACTTCCCACTGGACAGTGGCTGAAGAAGCTGGCAGAGCTGGCTGCCCTCAAGGCCTACCCCAAGTCTGTGGGCCTCCCCTTTACCTGAGGAGCCTCCACTTGCCCTCACTTCTCCCCTTCTTGCTGGGTTTCCTGCTCCTGCTGAGCCCTTCTGTTTACCACCTCCATTGCTCATCTTATCTCCCTTCATGGATCTTCCCTTCTCTCTAGTCAACATTCCCTCCTCTTTCCTTTGCTCCCTTTTCTTGCCCTCTCCCTGGGACTCTTCTCTCCCTTGTTATGGGCTCCTCTCCCTCCTTCTTTGCAGGCACAGGATAGAGGTGGGGGCCTGGATGTGTTGAGCTTATGAAAGGCCTGTGTCTACAAGCTTTAGCCTGACATCCTCAAGGGACACAAGCAAATTGGGACCTGGAGTCACCTAGCCCTGGATGGGGGCCACTTCTCTTAGCCCAACCTAGCAGACTTGTTCCATTCCTACAGGGGGCCTGACAGCTTACACTCTTTTGTGGGCACTTGGCCAGCCTCTGCCCAGACTGGCCCCACTGTGTACCTATGTGGTCCCATACAGCAGGTAGCTGCTCTAGCCCCAGGACCAAGGCCACAGAGAAGAGGAACTCTGGTGAACCACCCTTCCATCCTTCAGCCATCCACTCAACCAAGTAGGATTCTTGTGCCTGAACTGGGCCAGCAAGCCCTGCCAACTCATCACATGAATCAACAGGATGGACAAGGACCCTACTCCTCCCTCACTCAGGAGGCTCCCTTCCTAAAATCTGGCCTTGGCTACTCCATCCCAGGTTTGGGTCACTGTGGCTTTTCCAAGCTCCTCTGTGGTCACTGCAGTTCCTTCATCCCCACAAATCAGGCACACATTAAACCTCTGGGTAAAGCTGGAGTTCAGAAGCCAGGCGGGTGGCTTATTCCTACCCTCCAGGGAGGACACTTCCGCCATGGCCAGCACAGGACTTGGTGTGACTCACACTTACACATTAAATAAAGGCTTGTGTACACAACCATTTTGTTTGCGTTGTCTGTGGTGATGGGGTCAGGAGGTGGGGCAGTGGCCCCCTTGAACTTCAACAGACACCAGACGGGGCAGGTGGGATCCAATCCCTGTTTCCAGGGCCAGGCTTCCATCAGGGCTTGAAGAAAAAGGCCAGCCAGAAACCTGCAGTCCAGGCTGGCTGGTTGAAGGATGACCAAGTAGGTGGAGTGTGCTGGGGGACAGGCTCTGACAAGGCCGTCAGCACAGGAGGTTCATCCAGTCCTTTAAGCCTGTGCATCCAGATCTGTCTCCTGCATGAAGCCAGGAGCCTCTGCCTCTCTACCTGGCTGGCAGCAATGCTGTGTCCCATTTTATTGCCATGCAGGGGAAGGAGAAAGGTGTGCAGTGAGGGTCTTTTCAACCTAGTCCAAGAAATGGGAAGAAAGGAGGGAGGAAGGGAGGAGAAAAAGGAGGGAGAAACCAACGAAGTCATTCTCTGGGAGCAAAGTTGTCATTTGTGTGTCTCTGGAGAAGTCACAGTGCTTTTCCTGGAAGAAACCGTTTGTTGGCCAGTGCCTCCCAGGCCTCCTGCTCACCTGCACCCTTATCCTTTCTTTTCACTGACACATTCCTCCTGTTCCCAGAATTTTTATTGAACATTCTTGGGTGGTTGTCTCAGCAATCTACCAACTGGACCAGTAGGCCTGCCATCTCTGCCCCATGTAGGGGAGGAGTCCTGCCTGGAGCCATGAGGGTTATGGAGTATTCTGGAGAGGGGGCGGCATGAAAGGCTACCAGCAGAAACCAAAAGGACCCCAAATTGGGAGGGTTGATTGCATGGGCAAGTGTACCACCACTGCTAAGGGTCAGCCAGGGCTGGGTCCTGGGTAGCTCGCTGCTTGTTCACAGTGCTCAGGAGCTGTTGCACATACGAGGTCAGCAGGTCATCCATCTTGTAGCCCTGGACAAGGGAAGGGTGAGGTTTGGGGCTGTTGGGTACAGCTGGGGCTGGTCCTTACCAGAGCCTGGCAGTACTCAACTTTTGCCTCAGGGAGGCACACTGGGCAGGGAGGTGATAATGGAAATAGGTCTTCTGCTACAAGAAGAGCAGTCCAGAACCACAGGGCCCTCTTGCCAGGTCTTGCCACGATGCCCCTGGGTGACACCTATCCTTCACCTCCTTTCAGGCCTCCCAACCTGGCATCATCCACAGGTGACCTTGACTCCATAGTTAGTAACTGGCCTGGTGGAAGCAGGGCATGAGGGTGGAGGAAGTCTGTCCCCAGTGCCTCAGTGCCCCAGTCCCCAGTGTGTGTTTGAGCTGGGATAGGGGACTCACCAGAGAGGTCTCACACAGCAGGCGGCTGCCCCGGCCCAGGCTTCCCAGCACCATGTGGAAGTAGGTGCTGCCGCTGCTCCAGCTGGAGATCTTGGTGAATGGGTGGGTGGTGAGCAGCTCCTGAGGGCACAGTGGCTCAGGGTCTGAGTCTGAGCTGCTGCCCTGGGGCCTACCTGGGCCCCTGGGGCCACGAGGAAGGGGCAGAAGGGCAGGTGACCACAGCCCCGCCTCTGTGGGGGGTCTTGAGACCCTGGCAGCCTCCCCAGTCCTGTGGAGCCCTGCTGTTACCTTGGTCTTGGGGTGGATGAGCAGAACTCCATGCCGGTTGATGGCAATGAGGATGATGTCTGGGTAGGAGGGCTCCGAGGTTTGCTGGGAAGGATTGTGGTGCTCACAGCCCATCCCGGCAGGCTAGGTTGCCTTCCCTGAGGCACATGCACATACACATGTGCCCACATACCCCTCTCAAACCCAGTGACCAGATTTGCTCCAAGATGTATGTTTGGGGGAGCTCAGGCTATTGGGGCCAGAGCTGGGGTAGAACCTTCTTAGGCAAGCACAGGTGTGCATGGGGTGAGACCTACCTTCACCTCGAAGAAGGCCGACCCAAAGGTGGGCCACCGGCATATCCGCTTTAAGAAGGCCACTTTGGCCTCTTCCACTGCCTTGTCCCTATGCTTGTCATAGGCCAGAAGGATGCTCTGTGGGAGATTAGGGTTAATGAAGGCCTGGTGGGGGTCACTGCCTCTCCAGGCCCTTTACACGGAGCCTAGAGGCCTTAGCCCAGAGCCTGTGTACCTGAGACTAGCTCAGGGGTGGGCGGGAGGTGCACTGAGAGCCAGGTGTGTCCTCCGCCCAGAATGTGTCTGTGAAGTACTATGGTCAATGTGGGGAAGATGTGATATACTTAGGCCCAGACCATCCTCCATACCCAGAAATATGCTCATCCTGCCAAGGCAGGGTCCCTGGGAGGGGCAGTAACCTGAAGGTCCCTCCCCAGCTCCCATGAGGGACCTTTTTCCATTCCTCCAAGGACATCAGGCGTATAAGATTCTCCGGCACAAGTTCCCTCAGGATCTTGGGGATGTTAGCTAGCTGGGACTTGTCGTTGTCAAACTGGGCCTTGTAGATGAGGCCTGCCAGCTGGATGGCATCCTCCTGGGAACACTTGTGGAACCCACGCAGGTACTTGGGCAGCTCCTGGGTGATGGATACACTGGGTGTTAGGCTGCTGGCCCCCAACTCATGTGGCAGGTAGCAGGGGTGTTAGTCCACTCTGACCTAGGAGACAGAGCCAGCAAGAAGCTAAGGCCCTTAGGACAGGGTCTCCTGTAATGGCAATGACCCCCATGAGTTGGGACAGAGACCCTTAACATCTTGCTGTGAACACAGTGGCCCACTCGACCCCTGTGTAGTTGACCCTTCAGGACAAAGGCTAGTGCTCCTCTGACTGTGGGGTGGGGGGAGGTCCCCTTTCCCCACCCCTCCCTGGTGGTCAGGCTGCAGGTGCTGGCACAGTCACTGTTGCCAAATGTTACTTTCCCTCTGCTCCTGGCTCCAGAAACTTCAGGGGGTAGGTCTGGTAACTATGTGGGGTGAGCTTTCTGGATGTTCCTGGACCTTCCCCCACAACCCAGTAGACTTCAGGGCCCCTGGGGCAATGAAGCCCTCATAGGCCTTCTGCCTCCACATCTCAGAGTAGGTATGGGATGGAGTGAGGGTGGACCCAAACCCTGACTGGAGAAAACCTTTCTAGGTACCTGGTGGTAATGGAGTATGGTGTCAGCACGCATGTCCTTCCCTGGGGCCACATTGAGCCACAATTTTCGCATGAAGTACACCTGGTAGGGGAGCGTCACAGGGGCCCCTGGGCAGGGACATCAGTAAGCACCAGCCTGCCCTGGGGCCCAGCTTTCACCAGGACCACCTCCAGCCTGCCAGGCTCAGTGGCCACACCCCACCTCCCCTGGCCCAGGGCCCTGCTGCACCCTGCCTACAGCACGTCCTCCTGACACATTCACAATGCTGCTATGTTTGCGCCTGCTGCCTCCCCTGCCCACATTTCTTCCTCACTGGCCCCAATTCCTCCTCATCCTTCAAGACTAGTATGGAAGCCACCTTCTCCAGGGACGTTCCTGGACCTCCCTGTCAGGCCCCTGTCCATCCCCACGGCCCTGTGCATCCTTTATCTGCTCTACATCTTTCCTGATATCTTGTCCCTGTCTGAGCTGGGAGAGCTCCAGGACAGGGCCCCCACAGCTGGTCCCAGGCCTGGCCATACCCATGACACGGTGGGGGGAGGGGTGGTATAAAGTGGAATGACTGAATGGGCAAGGGCCATGCAGGAAAGGCTAGGGGAGTCTTGTGCTCTGACCCAAGGAGTCAGACAGTCCCCACCCCTGCCCCTCCATCGCAGGTGAATCCTGACCCTGTCCCATAGACACTCCCCACCTTCTTTCTGAGGCTTGCTCTTCTTCACCCAGTCAGACAGTTGCCACAAGGAGTCAAAGAAGAAGTCTCCCTCCTTTTGGCTGATGACCTGGGTTGGATAGGGAAAGAAGCAAAGCAGGGTGGACAGGCGGAAGGGCTTCCTGGGAGTGCATTCCTGGGGATGCCAGGGCCTGGCAAGCTAGGTGCCACACTGGGCCTTGCTCACTCAGGGACCTGTGGACTTCATGAGCCCACTCACCTTTGTCCTTTCAGCCCCTCAGCCCAGTGGGGACTTCCACACACCCTGCCCACTTGCTTCTCTGGCATCTGACCCGCCTGCCAGCTGTACCTTGTCTGCAATCTTGATAAAGAGGCTACAGCCTTCCCAGGAGGCCAGCTGCAGTCTGGTGGAGATGCTTTCACACATGTCCCGCACCCGGGTCTGGGCATCCACTTCCAGCATCTGGCAGAGGGGTGGCATAGGACCATTTCAGAACAAGTTCAGCTCAGACTAGCCCTCAAGCCCTGACACTGCTGCACCTTCCTGTTTGGCTGGACACACCTGGCCTGAGAAGGGCAAGACTTCCTTCTGGAAAACTGGCCATATGTTATGTTGTTTAGTTATAAAGTTTACTATCTTGGGGGTCTGAGATGCTGAGCATTTGAATTTGCTTTGAGAGCCCTGCAGCCAGACTGTGGTAACTTTTCACCTGGGTACTTCAGCAGTATTTAGACTGTAAAGGCGCATTGTTTCTCGGCCTCCTCTCCTCCTCACTTTGCTGCTGTCACTTGGCTAAGGGCCTCTTTATCACAGCTGGGACTGGATGGTTTTCCGTCTCCCATCTGCCCCATCTATGGTTCCCAGCTCCCAACCTGAGCTCTTTCCTCAAGCACACCCAATAGCAGCACCTGCTCCCTGTGTTCTGGTCAGAAGTCTGAACGGTCCCATGCCCTGGGACTTAGACTTGTTGCTCACCCTTCTGGCCTTCTCTGTCTTCTTCCCCAGCCTAGAATGTTCCTCTATACCTTTGGGACAGTCCTGACTTTGAACTGTATTAGTAGCCACCCTGGGGGGTGAGGGCACTGCCCCTCTCTGCACTGGCCTGAAGTACATGAAGGCGCACAGCACTCGGTTCACTATTGTAGCACACCAGTGATGGGGCATGGGAAGAGAGTTCCTCAGGGTTTCCCACGAGGGGTGGGGTGGGATTCACCTGGCTGGTGTCATTGGGGAAGTAGATCTTGTGGCAGATGCGGGAGATGTTCTGCTCTATGGCCTCCACCTCCACTTGGTGAGGGGGCTTCTTCCGGGGCCCCGCCCTAGAGTAGAACAGTGCACACTGCACATGCCACCCTGCTGGCCAGCCCCAGCCACTACTACTGAGGGGTGGTTCCAAGGGGGCTGCCCCTGCCTGGAGTGCTCAGGGTGTGGCCCAGAGTACGCGGCAGAGGCCACCCCAGACTCACTTCCCTTGTGACTCAAAGTTCTGAGGAGGCAGGAAAAGCCTGCACACACATGGGGAGGGGACCCAGCTGACCAGGACTTCCAACACACCAGGTGGGGTGTTTTCTTGTTCTCATAAAGAATGGCCATGGGGCAGGAGGGCCAGGGACTCCTGCAGGGCCTCTCTGAGGGTATCCACCTCCCCTTCTATAATCAGGGCTGCCACTCACTGCTATAGCCACCACATACATGGTCAGTCTACTCTCCCTTATAGCCCCAGAAGTCCATGCTAAGGGAACAGGCAGTGGGACTGAGATCTGAGAGCTGAGGAAAAACTTCCAGGCTCTAAGAGGGCTGGGTTGGAAGACAGCACATGGATTGGAAGGGGTGGGCCTCTGACTTAGGAGGGGAGGATGGGTGGCTTGGGGTATCCAAGTCACCTTATGACCTCCAGGCAGTTCCCTGTGGGTCCTGGTTAGGCAGCTGTGCTAGGGGGTGCGGAGGTGGGGGAAGCTTGTGGTGGCAGCCCTCGTTGTGGAGGGTGAGGTGGGTTCCCTCAGAGAGGACCCGTAGGAGTCCCTGACCCTCCTGCCCTATGTTCATTCTTCATAAGAACAAGAAAACACCCCACCTGGTGTGTTGGAAGTCCTGGCCAGCCAGGTCCCCTCCCCATGTGTGTGCAGGCTTTTCCTGCCTCCTCAGAATTTTGAGTCACAAGGTTCTGAACCTACTAGAAGCCTCCATGACCACCCAGACCCCACTGAGACCCTCTTGAGCCTCATTCTCCATCTTCCTCCCCAGTGGCTAGGGACTTGGTCCTGGCTCCCCAAACTGACACCAGCTTCTGCAGAGGATGCAGAATCTGGCTGCACTGGGCCACAAACTCCTGAAGGGCCTGGCTGGCTCTCTCAGCATGTCCAGGTGGCAGTCATGAGAGCTGCCAGGTTCACCTCAGCACCCTCTGGATACGGCGGCTGCAGTCGGGGGCCAGCAGATTCTTCCTCCTTGTGTCTATGAATTTCTGGACATGGGGCATTAGCGCCTTGCCAGGCGGGAAGAGACCAGTGCAGAGCCACAGCAGTTGCCAGCCCCGCTCTTCGCTATACCTGGAAGTGACAGAGTCTATCAGTCCAGGAAGAACCCCTCCCAGAGGCCAGGTGAGCTAGGCACTGTGGGGAGATGGACGTGAGGCATGCTCGGCCATGGGCAAGGAGGACCATGACCCAGCTGCTCAAGGCCAAGAAGGCTTTCATACCCATTAGCTGGGGAGGGGTGCTACTGTGTCCACTTTGTGGAGGATCATGCTGAAGTTTAGAGAGGCCAAGGGTGGCAGCAGGCACAGCCCAAAGCAGGTACATTGCTCTCCCTGCTCTGATCACTCCAAGAAGTCAGCAGTACATACCAGGGTTCCAGCCCATCCCTCAGCTACTGCAAGTGCCTGGGCAGACTGTGTGGCTTCCAGGAGCTGCCACCTTCCTGTCCGAACAGTGGGCACAGACTCTGGGAGCCATTTCCACCCCATCCCCAGCAGACCTCTTGGTATTGTGTGTCAGCTGCTTCAGGATCTGGCAGTAGACTTCATCCTGTAGAACTGTGTCCTGCAGGGCCCACGAGAAGATCTGGTCCGTGAGCTCCATGGAGGTCCAGGCCTGCCGAGAGGGGTAATCACCCATGTACCTGAGAATGGGTATGGCTATCAAGGAGAATAAGCTGGCATGGTTGTCTGTCAACTCTGATCCTGAGCCCCACCCCACATGACACCTCCTGAATAGTCCTGTGAGCTGCACATTGCCCCTGCCTCATGTTCTGTGAGACCTGGCCCCTCTTGGGGTGATGGTGGGGTCCATGCCCATGGAGATAGCATGGAGCTGGGGCAGGCTGGCTGGGGAAGGATATCAATGAAGATCTGACAAGTGACATCCCACAGTTCGGTGTTGGCATAGACACGCTTGAGCAGAGGCTGCCGCAGTGGCTCAGGGGAGTGAGCCCACAGGTGGCCCCGGGACCTGGTCAGCGGGTACATGGCTCTGCTGACTGTCTCCTTCTCCAGGGCTCTGTCAAAGATAGAGGCTGGTGTGAGGGTCATCTCTGGGAGGGGTTCCCTCCCCATCTGCCTCCTCTTTGGCACGGTCAGGTGGGAGACCCAGACCCCAGTGTGGGTCCTTGTGGAGGTGCCATCTGCATCCACAGTACTCAGCTGAGACACAGGTCACCCCCTCCGACCTCCAGGGTGGTTGTGGGAGGTTTATAGGGTCACCTTCTCCCCAGGTGGACACCACACCTGCCTCTGTGGCTTCCCCAAAGCTCTCAGAGAGTACAGAAGGGCTGACTGGGGCTAGGCCGGGTGGTGTGTGTTGGAGGGGGGGAGGGGCGGTGAGCACCTAAAATACTCATAGGAGAATGTCTCCAGGGTGTGCAGCTTCTCCTTGGCCTGCTCCTCAGGCAGTGGTTCTGCTGGTTGCCCCTCCTGAGCTGCCAGCTTCCGCTTCTCTGGTGACATGGCCAGCAAGCTCTGTGGGAGCACATGCCTGTGGGTGCCAGGAGCCACTGTCCACAAGGCCCTCCCCATAGGTTCCTCCTGACCTAGTTGTCTCAGTGATTTAGGAGGGGAAGGGCCACAGACCTGAACAGGCCTGAGCCTACTCCTCCTATATCATCTAATGTGACCCAGGACCAGCGACTCAACCTCCCTGAGCCAGATTCCTTTCTCTTAGGAGGGCTTCTCAGACTTCCTAGGCTCCCTTTCCCCACAGTGCCTCTCTTCAGGGACATATGCCACCTGGCCCTGCTGCCTGGCTTATACCTCCTTTAGGCTTCACACATATGTTACTACCTCAGTGCTGCCTGACAGACAGGTTGAACTTCACCCTATTATTTGCTTTCATAACAACCAGTGCTGTTTGTTGATGGCACAGTATACTTGCTATCAGTTGATCACTTGCCCCAGTGCTCCTTGAGGGCAGAGTCACTGTTGTGGTCAATTCTGTATTGCAGACATAGGATAGACAGTTGGCACTCAATATATGCATGTTGGAATGTCTACCTGTCCTGCTTCCCAGTAAGGCTGGTTTCAGGGGCTGGAGTGGACTGGTTCCAAAAGATGGGGAGACTTGATCCCCCTTGAGTTAGGGTTTTAATGAGGCTGGGGCTGGGGAGGGCATGGGTTTGTTCCTAGGACACACCCATGGTAGGAGAGATAGAATGGATGCCCTCTTACTGAGCTTCCCATGAACTGTCAAGCACTGTGCTGGACATGGCATGAACACTGCCAGCTTCCTGGTCACTCCAGAGGAACAATGGAGTTGGCAGAACTGGCCTGATGCCCAGGTGGCCCTCATGACCCTCAGTGAGGTAGTATACAGGCCCTTGAGCTAGGACCCCCAGATGGGCATCCTGGCCATTTCCCATGTGCTCATGATGCCCTGAGTGAAGATGGTTTACCAGCAGCTGTGCAGAGGGCTTGGTGACTGTAGGGATGGTATAAAGGCGGGTGGTAAGCATCAGCCCCGTCTTGCCTGTCCTGTGGTTCTGGCCCAAGATCCAGTTCTCAGAGGCCAACAATCCCTGCTTCTTGGTCAGGATCAGCAAGTCCCCCTTTTTAAAGGGCAGGAGGGTGGCGTCATCTGCAAATCCAGATTACACACACAAGGGTAGAAAAGCCACAATTTACCAATGGGTCTGCAAAGGCCGTGGTATGCTGGAAGTTTATGGGTTGTCTTTATTGAGAGATGAGGAGGCTGAAACATAGAACTGAGGGCCTGGGCCATTCTGATGGGAGTGGTGGCAGGATTCGCAGAGCTTGGGCTCTCAAGGGCTGGGACAGGCCCAGAACCCAGTGCGCAGGGGCTAGGGAGCTCTGACCATGGCCCTACCTTGGGAGACCTGCTCAGAGACCTGCTCAGAGACCCGACCAGGAGCTGTGGCCTGTGAGGCAAGAGGTGTGCCAACAGGGAAGAAATGCCCAGGCTGGCAGTCACCAAGCCAGCCTAGGTGTCATGTTACTCTCATCTGTAAAGTAAGATAACAGTCCCTTTCTCTGTGGGGCAGTGGTGGGGCTAGACTGGGTGGCAGCAATGTTTCAGAACTGATGGTTTTTACTGCTGGGAGGCCTTGAGCACAGCTCCTCCTTCCACATCCCAGTGAGCCTTCTCACTCCCTTCCCAAGCCCTCCTCAGTAAGGGGCAGTAATAGCCCCACCAATTTTCCACAAGTGCTCAGCTCCTACAGGGGTCGAGAATTAGATGTAGAGCTCAAATACATCTTCCCCTGATCTGTGTGATCCTGGACAAGCTGCTTCCCTTTTCTGACCTTCTGGTTCTGTTTGTAAAAGGATGGCTGTGGCGGTGGTGCTCAAACTACAGGCCCATGGCAGGCTGTTCTCTGAAGGCGGAGAGGCTAGTCTCTTCCCACACTTCCCTTGGTACGGTCCTCAGCTAGGGTGGCCTTGGAGGGTTGGAGATCACCTTCTTTAACCCCTCATTTTGTGGAAGGGAAGGTTTTGCCCAAAGCTGCCCCTTCAGTGTTTTATGGTCCTTTCTCCATCTCCCTGCTGAAGTCCCTGAGCCCTGCTCCTTGTCACATGGCTGCTACAACATGAAGATGAGAAGTATCCCAACCACTTTCACCAACCACATTCACACCCCACCCGGCTAGGCACCTGTGGCCTTCTGGTCCTGCAGGGCCATAGCAAACACGGATCTCTCCTTCAAGCCCTCCAGAAACATGGCTACCAGCTCGGCAATGGCGACACTGCTGGGGGACATAAACTCATACTCCTCTTCATGTAGTGTGGACAGCAACAGCCTCTGCCCACCCTGGGCCTCCCTGAAGGGACAAAAAGCACCACATGACCAAAGGCCTCCTCTGCCCTTCCCATTTCCACCACTCAACAGCCTCACTGAGGGCAACCCTCCTGAGTTACAGATGAGGAGACACAATGACTTGTGCAGGGCCACCAGCAGGGCTAGAGTTGGCTCAGACCCCAGGCAGCACTGTGTGCGGTGGACAAAAGATAGCCAGAGCTCAGGGCCCATGGAGCCTCAGAGGCAGTCAGTGGTACAAAGCCACAGTACGTGGAGTCAGCTCTGGGTAGGTAATGAGGTGGCCAGTGTGCAGGGCTACCAGAGTGACACCACAAAGAACTGAGTTGGAACTAAGATGAGGCACCAGGTTTAGTGAGCTTGGGTGAGCTGCCGAGCCTCTGCATGCCTCAGTTTGTTCATGTGCAAGCTGGATGATGCTGTGAGGACTTCATGGCAAATGGGAATGTGCCTAGCATGGTCAGCCTCAGGAAGTGGTGGCCAGTGTGTGCCCTGCACCCAGTGGTAATGATTATAATAGTTATGCCACCCTGGGGGCTTTAAATGAAGGGACTCTTCTGGACACAGGCCAGCCTTCCCAAAGAGCTTAGAGGCATTCTCAGGAGATGAGAGCCATAGAGAACCTCGAGGGTAGGTGGCTGGGCCCAGCCTGGCCTGCAAGGCCACTCTAGCATGGCCATGTGACCTTTCACACACCCAGGCACCAAGGCTCTGTCCCTTGATTCTTCCCCTAGATGGCCTGTACCTTCTGTATGACCAGTGAGAAGGAAAAAGCTTATAAGGAATATATACCCAAAAGGCTGCAAGATCGTGTGCCTCTTCCAGGAGGATGTGGGTGTAAAGAGAGGCTGAGAGGGCAATGCAGAATTCATAGACACAGTACCTCATGGGCAGGGCAGTGTGGCCAGTGACAGAAAAGGGTAGGGCCCAATGTCCAATGGCCACCACACTGTACACATCAGTCTTTACCCCTGTACTCCAGCTGGACTCCCAGGATCTATGTGCCTCCCTCTCTCCATCTCTCCTGAAGCCCCAAGGACTGAGCTTTAGAAGGAGATTTGAACATCTTGTTTGGGGGCACCCACCTGTTGGTGATCAGACTCATGACCTCTGGGAAAGAGAGTTCTAGGAGTATCTTCTCCTTCTGGTCCAGGAAATACAGCCCCTTCCAGTTAACAGCCAAGATCAACTGAGTTTTGGGCAGTTGGGGTCCTGGCCAAAGGAGACAGAGTGTGAAGCACAAGCTGGCCCTGGGTAGGGGTCCTCACCTGTGCCCCTCACCCCATCATTTGCCATTACCAGAGAAGGTGGTAACTTCGAAGAGTCTGGAGAAGAGTAGTGGCCACTGCAGGCGGGCAGCATCCACCACTTGCTCCTGCACATCCCGTGGCGTAGCCTGCTTCTGGGTGTATGGGGCCTGCTCAGGGACACAGTGTATCACTACCATCACTCCTCTTGCATCTCTCAACAGGGGTGTAACTCCATCCCCTCCCCTCTCCAGCTAATAATCACTTGGTGCCTAGGAACTTGTTTGCAGGATCATTCTTTGAAGCCCCTCCCTACAGTGGAGCCATTGTCTAGTGAGGACTGGATGGGAAGGCTAGGGGGCTGATGAAGCCCTATTTTACCTGCCCTGGGGGAGGTCCCTTCATGGATGATTCTGAGAAGGGAGGGAGCTTTTCTTCTTTAGTGTTGGGATGCCCATGAGCTGCAGGGCCTGGTTGCTGCTGGCTACTGCTGCATGGAAGGCTGTGCCACACATTTGGGTGTGTCTGCAGGCTCGTGTCTATGTGCTCTGAAGGGCTTTTGCCAACACAGCCGCATGGGTCCGTATCTTGTTCTGAACATGTGGCCTGTCTTGGTGTGTATCTCTGTGTCCTTGTTTCTTTCTACTTCCACATATTTGGGAAGCATTTTTCAGAGGCCTCCATCTCAACTTCTTCTCTCCAGTCCCCATCTCCACTTTCTTTCCTCCCTCTTTCTTCCTATTTCCCCTCCTTCACCCTTTCCTCTCCCCATCTCCACTGTTCTGTATGTTTGACTGAACTTTCTTTTTACTGTTTGTTTAATAAAAGATTTCTTTTGTTTCTATTTTAAAAAGTGGTTGAGTAATAGTCACATACTGACTTGGGAAATATAAACTGATGTATCATATCTGAAGAGTGATTTGGCAATATGCCACATACATCAAATATTTTAGAATGTTCATATACTCTGAAATCCATTTCAAAGAAATTTATACTGATGAATAAATCAAGTGTATAAAAGTTACTTCTACAAAGTGGTTCACCTTGTTCTTTAAATAGTCAAAAATGGTAAATGACCTTAACATTCATAAATAGAAATAAAAAATGTGAATTATAATTCATTAATATATACTATGCACTCATCCAAATTAACATAAAAATCAGTATGTAGGGACATGGAAACATGGCCCCATACTATGGGGCCAAGGAAGAAACAATTTGAAAATTGTCATAGAATATGATCTTTTTATTTTTAAAAAGATGTCTTTCTGCCATATTCATATCTCATCTGTGTACATGTGAATAAAGAAGTCTAGAAGGGTATATATCACAATATTAAACATGATATATGATGATTTTACTTTTTGTGTTTGTCTATATTTTCTGATTTATTTGGTGATGTATGTGCTTAAAGTGTTTAATGAAAATAAATCATTAAAACTACATCCACTTTGGAAAAAAGTGGTGAGGGAAGATCTATTTCTTTACCCTTAGCCCAACTTCCCCTTCTGAAAGGAAGGCCACTTCTTACTCATGATCATTTAGGTTCGTGTATGCCTCTGGTTCCCCTCCTTCTTGTATGCGCCCCCAAAGTCCACATCTCTCTTGCAAACACATCTTCCCAGGCTGGGGAACACCATAAAAGCTCAAGAGGGGCTCTGCTGACCCAAATGCCTGTCACAGGAGTGTTCCCAAGGAGTACAAGTGCAAGTGAATGTCTGTGGAACAAGGCTTCTATGGCCAAATATGTTTGGGAAATGTTGGATAAAATAGTCAGATTTTCTATTGCATGAACATTTCACAGGGAATCCCTAAGAGCAGAACAGAGCAATAGCATTTCCCAAACCACAGGCACACAGGACCCTTGTCCACGGTCCACTTTAGGTTACCTTTTGAGTAGCAGAAAGGAGATGGCATCACTTGGTCCTCTGAATCTGATTGGGCCTTCCTACTGGAACCACTCAGCTGGGGCTAATCTCCCTGCCATTGGGCTATCAATCCCTGATGAGCAGACAGTGAGCTGTGTTCTTCTTTCCCACTCCCTATCCTGTCCTTTCTTGGTCCACAGCATCATAGGGAGGATGGAATTGGGGGAACCTTTAACTAAAGGGTTTCATCCTCTGTCATTCCCCATACAGCTAGCTCTCCTGCAGCAGTGGCTTCAAGCCATGTCTGGTGCCTCAGAGATGCCTGTGTTCCCTCATGCCTGCTGCAGAGCTCAGCACAAGAGGAAGGTTCTGACAGAGGGCCGGGTCTTGGAAGACCTATCTTTGTGGGTAGGGGAAGAGAGGCCAGGGGATTGTGAATTAGATGGTATGTCTTTGCTGTCCCCTCTTGGGGTAGAAGTTAGGGAGCAGCAGAAAGCTGCACTGGTGTGAGGGCCAGCGGGGTGAGTAGAGGCATGGGGAGGAGGTTGTGAGCCCCCAAGGGGAACCATATTCTCATGGTGCAGGATGATAAAGCACAGGGAAAGAGAGGCAGCCCTCCCTGCTGTTCAGGGCCTGAACAGAGCATGCAAGGCCCAGAGAGGGGCCAGGACAGGGCAGCGTGGTGCAGAGATAAGGGTGTGGTCAGGTCAGCCACCGGATGCCCTCTTATGCAAAAGGCTAGGGCCTGGGCAGATACTGCAGTAGAGACCAGTATGGAATGAGCTGCATGGACCCAAGAAGACAACTTGAAAGGAGGAGGGAGCATGGATGGGCCCATAATAGGGAGTTGAACGGAAGGAGCTTGGTTAAACCTGAAGACACAGAGCTATGCTATGTGTCAAGTTAAAGTTCCTGTTCCCAGTGGGTGGGGGGCTCATAAGGAGGGTCTCATCCTCTCTAGGCTCCCACCCCCCAGAGAAGAGCTGGGGCTCCATGGAGGCTGACCTTGGCATGGGCAGCAGTGACGAGGCTAGTCCACTGCTCCAGGGGCTTGGTCCTATACAGTTTGGAGGGGATGCAGCTGGGCAGAAGCTCCTGGATTGCCTCTCTCCCAAATGAGGCACCGAGCTGCACGTAGCAGTGCTGGGCCAGCAGCTCCACGAGCCCTTCCTCCTGCACAGCCCAGGGCAGACATACAAGTAAGGGAAGAAAAGTGAGAGCCTTCCCTCCCCTGCGAAGCCTCTGATGATGCCCCAGTGCTCACCCCAGCATATCAGAGATGACCAGCATTCGGGCAAGAACCAGGAACATGAACAGCCACCAGGCCTGAGGCCTTCTCCAGGCAGAACTTGCCATTTCCCCAACTCAGTGGGTGAACTCACCATATGCCATTGACTGGGCCCTAACAAGGGGTGTTCCCTGTGCTCCTCTCCTAGCCCTCAGGAAGCCATGAAGAGGTGGAGGAGGCCCAGGTGGAACCCTGACATCACTGGCTGTGTGGGGTGAATGTGAGCAAGGACTTCACCCTGTCTTACCCAGTCCTCACTTGTCAAAGGTGACTAGTGGCCACCCTGAAGGACTTCTGCAAGAACTCAGTTGAGTGGGATCTTGTATGAGGTACCCAGAATAGAATCCCCTCTCCAGGGATCCCACAGGTATAAAGTTGCCCTGTGCTCCTAGGAGACCAAAATCCTGTGGCTGCCTGCCCTCTGGGATCCTGTACTCTAAGCCCCTCTCTTTGCCCACTGTCCCACTCTAGGCAGGCTTCCAGTCCTGAGAACATCTTCCTCCTGATTCAGGCACAGGGAGATCTGTACCAGCTGAATAGGTGCACCACTTTCCCAGGGCTTAGGTACATGTTCTCCCCTCCCTCAATTCTTACAACCATACAAAGGGCTCTGCACTTTCTAGCTGAGGGCCTGAGGCTCAGAGGTGATATAAGAATCCAAGGTCACAATGCAAGGAAGAGGCACAGGCAGGACTTCAACTAGTGCTAGGGCTTCAAGGCCACATGCTTAATACCAGGCCCTGCTGCCCCATATACAGCTGCCATTAATGAGGCAAGGCAGGCCTGGAGCTGATGAGAGACTTTTCCTGCCCATTCCTGTACACGGGCCCTAGAAGCATGAGCAAACCTGTGGGCCAAGGGAAGAGGACATGGAGGCCCAGCAGTGGGGCCTAGGGACCTGTATTCCATGCATATATCCCCAGACCCCATACCTCTGCCTCTGCCCCTGCACATCCCTTAGCCCTGCCCTGTTCTTGTCCCCACGGCCCCTGTGGCCTGCCCTGCAATGCTGTGGTGGGTCAGTCCCAGGCCCTGACAGCTGTGGTACCTCCTCACCTTCTCAAAGCTGTACTCGCCGGACCATACTCCATGCAGAACTTGGCGGTAAATGAGCTCAGTGCTGACAGCATCCTCTCGGGAATCATGCCACGGGGTAAAGAACTCCTTCCGGAAGTAGAGGCGCCAGGGCGAATGGCGCTCACTCTCACCCCTCTCCCGGGCCAGCTGCTCACACTGGCCAATGGCATCCATCACATGGTCACGCCCACTGCCCAGGGACCAGAACTGAGGCCAGAGCGAGGCAATAAGAATTAGGGTTGCTATGTACAGGCCTCATGGGGATGTCTACTCTCAGCAATCCACTCGGGACTCCTAGGGGACAGGAGTCCCTCTGGATGCCTGAGAGTTTCTCCACATAGGGGTATGGCTAGTCTATCACTCTGACACTCCTCCTTACTGGCCCCTCCCAAGGGAGGTGGGAACTGACACCATGGCCACCATGACTAGGGTGGTACACTAGACTGTCTGGTTGGTGTGAGTGAGGCTGAGACTGTGGGCATCATGTTGGGTGAGAATGTGAGTCAGGGGGAGCTTTACCACGTGGCCCCCCTACATCTACTGCATGGGAGTGTGCAGCTCTCTGTGTAAGGGGTGGGCAGGATGTGTGAGTGTCTGGTGGATGTCTGTGTGGGAGGGGTGCTCTGATGTGGCAGGGGCCAAGCAAGGTGTGCAACATGACTTTGGGGCCAAGTGCTAGCCACTGGGCTGAGAATGTGTCTGGGCAGGAGGACAGAATATCTGGTGATGAAGCATTTTTGTGAGTCTGTGAGCATGCATGTGTGAGTATGTGTATATCTGTGGATATGTAAGTATATGAGTGAGCATGTAAGTGTGTGTGCATGTGTATGTGTGTGTATATATATGAAAGTATGTGTGTCTGATAGTGCGCGTCTGTGTATAGGTGTATCTGTGAGTGTGTGTCAGTGAGCATGTAAGTGTGTATGTCTGTGTTTGTCATCTGGAAAGGAGAACAGTGGCCAGATTGGTGTGGTTCAATGGTTGGAGCTGAGCTGGGAGTGTGGGGGAGGTGGAGGATGGATGGGACCCATGGCCAGTACCTTGTCATACACAGCAACCTGGAGGGAAAAGCCCAAGTGATCAACGAGGCCTTGCTTGCGGGCGATGTGCAGACAGACTTCCCGAGACGTCGAGGCTGAGTCCACCATGACAGTTAGGTTCTCTCCAGTCACCAAGATGACCTGGATTGGGATGCGTTTCTTGGACTTGACAGCCTGGGGACAGATGAAGATTCAGTCCCTCTGCTCCAGATATCCCTGGGCTCAGCTGCCTGCCCCAGAGGCTGGCCCACTCTCTACCTCTCTCCCTAAAGTTTTGGCCATCAGATATGGCTGCTGCACTGATGGACCTGGTGGAGTAAAAGCAAGGCTGCTGTAGTGTGTGTGCTTCTTTAGGTGGTCCTCAGCAGTCTTCAGGGTGCCACATGCAGGCAAAGACCCCCTTCCAACATGAGAACCCTGAGCTCTGGGAGGGTGAGTGACTGAAACTCACAGACGGTCAGAATAACTCTTAGACATTGCTGAGTCCTGGACTTGAGCATTTCTGACACATGGGAGCTATAGTTCCCTTTGTGCATAATAGGGAGTGAGCACACTCATACAGCTGCTACGAGTTCATGTGCGACTCCAGGGCTCATGAGCCGAGCAGGTAGAGGAAGAGGAGAGGCGCTGTGGACTTGGGTGGCAGGGTGAGAATGGGAAGAAGTATAGCAAAAGGTGACCCCAGTATGGGGCACCAAGGGACACAGGGAGTGAGGACCTTCCAGGAACCATGAGTACAGCAGGATGCAGGAGGGGCCTCCTTAATCTTTCCTGTGTCTGAATGACCCCTTCCTGAGGACACTGTGAGGTAACTGAGGATCACAGGTGATACACAGCAATGCCACCAAGGATGACAGCCTTGGAATGACCACTGCCTTCTTTATAAAATGCAAATATCCTAGGGAAAGGTAACACTTTAAGGAATTAGCAGTCATTCACACTTAAATGCTAATCAGTTTATCAGGTATGTATTTCCCCTTTAGCTAGTAGGGTCCAGAAGGAATGTGGATTTACAAGTGGGGAGAACACTTTTGAAGCCCAGGCTTCTCCTGGGGCAGCTGAGCCACAGGTGGTACTCACAGAGACCACTGGCATAGAAGGCTCTCCAAGCAAGTGGAAGAGACCTAAGGACACACTTCCTGCTGGAAACACAAAGAAGCCACCCCAGAATCTGTGCTGGAGGAGCCATGGGGGCTGGCACCACCCAACCCTGACCATCTCCCACTCCAGCTAGCCCCTACCTGCAGCTCCATCCAGGTGGGGGGCTCCATGCGAACCCCATTGGCATAGGTACGTCTCAGGCGCTCAGCACAGAAGGGTCCATAATTGGCTGGCCCTTCACCAATGAAGTTCAGCAGATACTGGTGAGAGAGGAAGGGGAAGGGAGGAGGAGGCCAGTTTCTACTTACTGCCCAGATGGGTTCTAAAAATTATAATATTCACTGTAGCTCTGTGAGGTTATAGATGTGTCAACTAACCTTACTGTGTGATCATTTTGCAATATATGCCTATATAAAATCACTACATTGTATACCTTAAACTTATGTGATACCAATTATATCTCAATAAAACTGGAAACAATTTTTTAAAATTTTAAAATGATAATAGTGTTGGCAAAACACAGTCTCACATAACACGAGGACTATAAATTGAACATTTTTTAGGATAAATTTGTCAATGTTTTAAATAGTACATGGTTTTATTAAAATGTGTCAACCCCTTGACCCAATAATTCAGACCTATCCTAAAGGCAAATACGTATGTGTGTGTGTGTATATATATATATATATATATATATATATATATACACACACACACACATGGAGGGCAGCCTCCAGCTTTCTCACCTTCAATTGCCTTTGCTGACCTTCCCTGCTGTATCCCTGGCTGATCTGGACCTTGTCACCTCCTGAAACTGTGCCACCTCCAGTGTCTGCCCAGGGCTCTATTTCCCCACTCCCATTATCTATCATTATTTAGCTCATCGAGGTATTAGCCTTTGTCCTCTTTGTCACTCATCTTTATATATATATATATATATATATATAACTATAATAAATAAATATTTTATTTATTTATTTATTCCTAGACAGGGGAAAGGAGAGGAAAACATCAATATGTGGCTGCCTCTCATGTGTCCCATTCCGGGGACCTGGCTCAAAACCCAGGCATGTGTCCTGACTGAAAATTGAACAAGTGACACTTTGGTTTGCAGGCTGGTGCTCAATCTACTGGGCCATGCTAGCCAGGGTCAAATATATACATTTTCAATCACAGTGGTGTTTATGGTGATAAGCAAATGGAAGGTGGACCAAAATATCTATTCACAAGTTAAATACTCTGTAGGATAGCTATATATACATATGAGATTAAAGATGGCATTTGAGAAAAATTTGTCACATAAAAAGACACTTGTAGAGACAAATGAAAGATACAAGAGAGTTGACATTCAAAATGTTTGATATAATGTGTTGCAAATCTGTTCAATCATGGAGAGATTTTTGTGAGAAGATGCAGCCTGGAATGATTGACTGGTGTCAAGAGTGGCCCTAGTGCCCAGTACAGATGGCTGGGGTTGACAATGCTTCCTGCTGTCCCCAAAGGCACATGAGAGAAAGTGACATCGTTTTTTTGTGTGACTACAAGTATGATACTATAGCACCACAAAAGGCCAAAAATAGTAACAGAAGTTACCTCTGGGTGTGGAGAAAACTTTTATTTTCTTTTTAGATTTTCTGCATTTCCTACATATTACTTGTATCATAACAACCAAAAGATATATTAAAGCAGTGAAGCCTGGGGCCTTTAACACTGCACCTGTCAATACTCTATCTTCATTTTTAGTTCTAGCGACCAGAGAGATGCTTCAGGCAATCCTCACTCACTGCTCAATCCTGGGACACCTTTGTGTTTTCAAGGTACATTTCCTCTACCATCTCAGAGGAGCCACCCTGGTGCCTGAGACCAAATGAACTGCAGTCCATGAATAGAGGCCAGAAAAACCAGGTCCAGTGTCCTCTTTTCCAGAAGGGAAAACTGAGATCCAAAGAGGCATAGGCACTGATGCTCATCCTGGCAAGTAGAAGCAGAAGAACTGGGCCCCAAACTGGAATTTCTGGACCTGCCCCATGGCTCAGGACAAACCCATACTCCCATGTACCCTGTTTTCCCAACCCCAGCCACTGCTCTGGGCCCTCCCCACCTTCATGAACCTCTCAGAGGGTGGGAAGCAGCCTAAACATAGGCTGAGCAGGATCCAGCCCCGGGCCACACTGGTCATTTTGAAGTTTTCCGACAGTTGCTTGCAGATCTGGCAGTAAATCTCATCCCTGAAAGACATGGACCACTAGGAGATCAGGCTGTAGGCTAGCTCTGAGAAGGGACAGGTGACTGCTTACACAGCTCCTTCTACACCCCTGGGTGGTGTCATGTCCAAGGGGCAGCCTCCAGCTTTCTCACCTTCAATTGCCTTTGCTGACCTTCCCTGCTGTATCCCTGGCTGATCTGGACCTTGTCACCTCCTGAAACTGTGCCACCTCCAGTGTCTGCCCAGGGCTCTATTTCCCCACTCCCATTATCTATCATTATTTAGCTCATCGAGGTATTAGCCTTTGTACTCTTTGTCACTCATCTTGTCCCTTCAGGATTTTGCTCCCTACCTCGCCCACTCTTCCCACAAATACCCTGGCCCTCCAGCTGTGGGGTACAGAGTCAGGGAGTGCCCACTGGTCTCCAGCCACAGTCCTGTCTTCAGTAGCATACACCTTTGTGTGACCTGATCTGCTCCTTTCTCCAACTTTACAGTTGTTTCACACCTTCTCCTTCTGCCTTGAAGTCCTTCCATTTTCTCTGAATGCAGCTACCCCACCACCACTCTATCGAGAAAAGTTGGGTCTCCTAGACTCCATTAGGAGAATCCTTCAACTCCTTGCCTTTTGACCAGCAAGAGTTAAGAGGAAGGCACAGAGAAAACATTCCCACAGGTTCACGACATTTTTATCTCTGTCTTCTCTTGTAGAGGGGACTCTTCTGGATCCTTTCTTACTTTATCAAGCCTTTATCATTTTATGAAAGTACCCCAGTTAGCCTTCCAACCTCACACATCTGGAGGCCAGCATCTTTTCCCTGGCACTCAGTGGTGAGCTGGTATTTCACAACCAACTCTTCTGGGGGGAAAAAGCCCAGAGTCATTGTATTTGCCCATTTCTATGGTGTGAATATTGCAGTCAGTGCCAATTTCAAGCTGCCAACCTGATGCTGAGTTGGAAAGAAATGTGCCTCGTGGACTCTCATGGCCTAGTAAACTCATCTACACCATACCTTTCTCAAGTCTCTACAGGGACCACCATCAACCATTCATCCAATTGGAAATCTGGGAGCAATCTTAGACTCCTTCCAGCAGCAACCACATTCTACCATCGGTCTCCTGGATGTTTTCTCTGTCCATTCCTCTTAACTCTTGCTCCCTGGGCCATCTCCCATCAGCTCTCTCTGGACCTCTGTAGCAGCCCTCTTCTGGACTCCCATCCCCAAGCTCCATCTCTTCATGTCATTGTCAGGGAGGACTTTCTGGGAGTCAAATATGGTCATGGTGTTCTCTTACTTAACACTTACCCTTACTTACCCCTATGATTAAATTAAAACTCAATTCCCAGTTGTGATAAACCACTTAGAATTCCAGACCTTTGAGCTGTTTTAAAACTTTCTGACCCTGCTCACTCTCTCTATTCTCTCTGGTGAAATACTCCTGCTTCTCATAGGTCCCTCCTGGCCCAAAAGGGCATTACAACTACTTCTTCATGGTACTCCCACTGGAATCTTATGTTAGCACAAGCAGTTATTGTATGCTCCCCAAGTAAAGGGCGACCTCCTTGAGGGAAGAGACATGTCATTTTCATCTCTGAATCCCTAGTCTAGGTACTGCCCCTGAGCAGGTAATTAATAAATATTTATTGAATGTATGGATGGATGTGGGTGGAGCATTTGCTTTGACTTGGAATTTGGCTAAGACCCCAGAACCAAAGACAAACAGATGATAATACTCAAGGATCTACTAAAAGGTGGCAGAACCAGTTCACTCCTATGCCACCTCCCACCTGCATAAGCAAAGATGAGAAATTTGAAAGGCTATTCTTGGAAAGGATTTCATAGGAGTAGAGATATTTCGGGCCTATCTCCATTTGCTCCAGATGAAGGGTATGAGGGGGCCCCCAGAAGATTGCCAATACAGATGGAGGCTATCTGTCAGAGGTGAGTCACATCTTGTTCCCCATTTGAGGTGTGCTGAGCCCCAGAAGTCCATTGTCTCACTGCAAGGTACTGAAATAAAGCAGTTTGACTGAGAGTGTTTGACTTCTGTCCCCCAAAGACATAAGTGGGGGGCCTCCACTAACAGAAAGACTGGTGTCTTCTTCCTTCTGGAGAACTGTAAGCTACCCTTGATGGCCAGGATGAAGCAAGAACAGTCAGAAGCTGGGAATGTCATTGAAGGAGCTGAGTTTCAGGTGTCTTGATGAGATCTTACACAAACAGGCAGCCCATCATTCCAGTAGGTCCCAGCAGTAAGGTTGTGATGTGTTCCATCAGCAAAGAGTTGGCAGGGAGTCTCAAGGGATCACTGAGTATCAGCCCCAACTGGAGACCAGCACTATGTGAAAGTGCCTATAGAGTTATCTGATGAATCCACAGTGTGTCTCATTTGGACACAGCTTTTATATGTCTGTCATATTGGAGGGTGTGGTGGCTACTGAGGAGTACCAATAGAACCAACTAACCAGAGTTGCCTGGTTGGTATCACTCAGGCAGCTAAAACTTGAGTGGAAACCCTGGAGTCTTACTACCTTCAAGAACCAGAGGACAGATTTTGGGGTACCTACCATAGTTGAAAAAGGGAAATCCTAAAATGAAGAGAACAATAGAAAAGGAGTCCTAAATTTTGCATATAAAACCTTCCATAGTCTCTGTTTGACTGCAAGTTTACACATGTGTGGGGCAGACTCCAGGCTGCCCAGCAAAAGCTAAAAGAACTAAACAGGGATTCCAGCTGCTACTCACCACAGGGAGACAGAGTTTAAAACCAGTCAAGTTGATTGCCTACCTGAACAAAAAGTCAACACTCTTTGAAAAAAATATAATGGAATCCAGAGTCTCTAAACATAGCATCCTCCATGGTCAGTATATAATTCAAAAGTACTAGACTTATGAGAAAATACACTCAAGTACTAGATATGTGAGGAAACAGAAGAAAAAGACCATTCTCAAGAGAAATGGCAGTCAATGGAGACTGACTCTAAAATGATCCAGATAATGATTTTAGCAGAAAAGGTTTTATTTTTTAAAATAATTTTTAAATTTTCAATTACAATTAAAGTACAATTTACAATAGACAAGTGCTAGAAGCAACCTAAGTACTCATTGGTAAATGAGTGTATCAAAAAACTGTGGTACATTTGCACAATGGAATACTAAGCAGCAGAAAGAAAGAAGGAACTCCTACCCTTCACAACAGCATGGATGGAACTGGAGAGCAGTATGCTAAGTGAAATAAGCCAGGCAGTGAAAGACAAATACCATATGATCTCCCTTCTAAGTGTTACCTAATCAATAAAACAAACAAGCAAGCAAAATAGAACCAGAGACATAGAAATAAAGAACAAACTGACAGTGCCCAGAGGGGCAAGAGGAGAGGGATAAAGAGGAAAGAAGGGGAGGGGTCATCAAGGAACATGTATAAAGGACCCATGGACAAAGACAACAGTGCGGGGGTGAGGATTGAATGTGGAAGGTGGGGGTGGGTAGGGCAGAGGAGAGGAATGGGGGCAAATGGGGACAACTGTAATTGAACAACAATAATAAAAATAAAATTAAAAATATGTATGATTTTAGCCAAAAAACATACAATAATATTTAGTTTCAGGTGTACAACCCTGTGATTACACATTTACATAACTTACCAAATGATCACTCTGATAAATCTACTACCCATCTGACACCATACATAGTTTACAATATTATTGACTATATTCCTATGCTGTACTTTACATTCCCATGACTATTCTGTAACTACCAATTTGTACTTTCTAATCCCTTCCTTTACCTTCTTTACACATTTCCTTAAACTCCCTTCCACTGGTTAACCATCAAAATGTTCTCTGTATCTATCACTCTATTTCTGTTCTGCTTGTTTGTTTATTTTGTTTTACAGATTCCACATACAAGTGAAATCATATGGCATTTGTTTTTATCTGCCCGACTTATTTCATTCAGCACAATACCCTATAGATCCATCCATAATGGTATGGATGGCAAGATTTCATTTTTTTTTATGGCTGAGTCATATTCCATACTATATGTATACCACCTCTTTATCCATTCATCTACTTAAGTTGCTTCCCTATTTTGGCTGCTGTAAATAGTGTTGCAATGAACACATTGATGCACTGATGACTTTATTTTTTTGAAATATTTTATTTATTTATTTTTTGAGAGAGGGGAAGGGAAGGAGAAAGAGTGGGAGAGAAACATCAATGTATGGTTGCCTCTCATGCGTCCCCTGCTGGGAACTGGCCTGCAACCCAGGCATGTGCCCTGACTGGGAATCGAACCTCGATACTCTGGTTCGCAGGCCCGTGCTCAATCCACCGAGCTATGCCAGCCAGGGCTCACTGATGACTTTTTAATGTAGTGTTTTGGGTTTCTTTGGATAAATACCTGGAAGTGGAATTGCTGGAACCCTCTTTGTCTCTTGTTATAGCCTTTGTTTTAAATTCTATTTTGCTGGGTATAAGTAGGTTACCCCAACTTTTTTTGTTTCCATTTTCATGAAATTTCTTTTTCCATCCCTTTACTTTTAATTTCTGTGTGTCTTTAGATCTGAAGTGAGCCTATTGTAGACAACATATATAAGGTCTTGTTTTCTTCTCTATTCAAGTTATCCCATGTCTTCTGATTAGAACATTTAATCCATTTACATTTAAAGTAGTTATTGATAGATATGTATTGCCACTTTGTTATTTATATTTTAATCTTTTCTTCTTCTTCTTAAAGAATAGCCTTCAACATTTTTTGTCATTCTTGTTTGATGGTGATGAACTCCTTTAGGTTTTTCTTGTTTGGGAAGCTCTTTATATGTCCTTTGATTCTAAATAATAGCTTTGCTGGGTAGGGTAACCTTGGTTGTAGGGCCTTGATTTTTCATTACTTTGAATATTTTGTGCCAAACCCTTCTGGTCTACAAAATTTCTGTTAAGAAATCAGCTCATGGTCTTATGGGAGCTCCCTTATAGGTACCTGCTTTTCTTTTTCTGCTTTTTAAGATTCTCTCTGCTTTTTACATTTGGCATTGTAATTATGATGTGTCTTGGTGTAGGCCTCTTTGGGGTCATCTTGTTTGGAATCCTCTGCATTCCCTGGACTTGTACGTCTTTTTCCCTCACCAGGTTAGGAAAGTTTTCAAATAGGCTCTCAATTTCTTGCTTTCTTTTTTCTCCCTTTATGATGCAGATATTGTCACGTCTGATGTTATATCAGAGGTCCCTTAAACTACCCTCACTACCCTCATTTTTTATTCTTTTTTTCAGCTTTGATTGGGTATTTTTCTACATTATCTTCCAAATTGCTGATTCAATTCTCTACTTCATCCAATCTGCTGTTGATTTTTCATTTCTGCTGTGTACTGTTCATTTCTGGCTGGTTCTTTTTTTTTTTTTTAACAGTTTCTATGTTATTTTTATACTATTGAAGTTCTCACTAAGTTCCTTGAGCATCCTTATAACCATCATTTTGAAGTCCATATCTGGTGGTTTGCTTGCCTCCATTTCATTTAGTTATTTTTCTGAAGATTTTCCTTGTTCTTTCATTTGGTATCTGTTTTTTGTTTCCCCATTTGGCTGCCTCTCTATGTTTCTGTGTGTTAGGTAGAATTACTATGTCTTCCAGTCTTGGAAAAGGTGGCTTACTGTACAAAGTACAGTAAATGTACTATAGGACCCAGTGGCATAGCCTCCTTGGTTACCTGAGCTGGGCCTTCCAGGTATACCTCCCATGTAGGATGAGTAATTTCTCTTGTTGTAGTTGAGCTTTAATTGCTGTTGATGCATCAGTGAGAAAGATTAATCCCAGGATCCATTGGCTATGACATTTGCTGTGACTACAGTGGAGGAGTTACTGTGCAGAGACCAATCCCATGGACCAGAACTTGCTTCAGCTCCCCTCGAGTGTGTTGCTTGTGGAGGTGATTTGGTCATGCTCTGGTGTGGTCTGAAGCTGGCCAGAGTGTGCTGGCTCTGGGTCCTCCCAAGATGTGTAAGCCAAGGTTAACAACATCCTGTGCCTTTCCCAGGACCACCTGGCATGAGCTACAAAGTAATCTGTAGATGGTTTCTACTTTTGTGGGCTTGGAGGTATCCAGGAGAGGTCAAGCTGTGGACTGAGTCCTGCTGCCACTAGTGCCAGGCCTCAGGCTACTTAGAAAGAGGCGTGTGGCACACTTAGGCCATATGCTGCTTGTTTGGGGTTTGTGAACATTTGAGAGAATGTAGTAAAGTCTAAAACATGAGCCATGGTAGGCCATTTGTGTGAAAAGCTACTGAGAGTGGCTGGGTGGGCCTGCAAGTTGGGTATGTCCTGGGCTCAGTGAATCACCAGGTCTGGGCAATGGTGTTAATTAGGTTGATGGAGACTCAGATATGGCTCCTGACTGTGCCTACAGGGACAGGGCTCAGCAAAGAAACAATGGCTTCTGCCAGCCCTTCTGTCTGAAAGAAAGTTGCCCTTCCAGCCCTTACTCCAGAGCCAGACACTCCAGTTCTTCCCCTTATGTCCCTGGTGCCTTTTGAGCTGCTGCCCGAACAGTGGAGCTCAAAGTGAGTCCAACTAAGTCTGGGCATCGGCCCTTTAAGAAGAGAGCCTGGGATTCCAGAAGTCCTCTGTATCACTCAGCCACAATCTCCACTGGTTTTTACCTTTAGGAATTATGGGAACTTCTTTTCTTGGCACTGGAACCCTGGGCTGGGGGGTCTACTATGGGGACAGAATTCCTTGTTCCTCAAGAAAAACCTCTGCAGCTGATATATTCCTCCCAGTTTTTAACTGCTGCTCATGGGTGTAGGGCCAGGTCATTCCATGGCTCCAACTCACCTATTAGTCTTGACTTTGCTTCTTTAGTATATCCTGTTATAGGACTTCTACACAGTTGATTCCAAGTGGTTCTCAATGATGGGTGTCCTGCAGTTTAGTTGTTATTTTGATGTGATCATGGAGGCAGCAAATACAATGTTTACCTACTCTGCCATCTTGACTGGAGGCCATAAAAGGTTTTAAAACTACTGTAACTATGCTCAAGAACATAAAGAAAACTATGTTCTTAGTACATGAATAAATAGGAAATATTCACTGAGAAATAGAAACTGTAGAACCAAAAAGAATAATTTCTGAAATAAAAAAATACTGGATGGGTGTAACAGCAGATGGGAAGACAAAAGAAAGACCAGTTAACTTAAAGGTGGATCAGTAGAAACTATTCAATCTAAAGAACAAAGACAAAAGTGAAAAAAAGAAAAAGAAAAAACCCCACAGGGACCCGAGGGACAATATAAAATAGTCTGACATAGGTTTAATTAGAGTTTAAAGAAAAAGAGAGAGGGTGGGGGAAGAAAAGAGCGAGAGAGAGAATAAAGTAGAAGACTTATTTGATGAAATAATGACCAACAATTTCCCAAATTTGGGTAAAAATAACCTAAAATATGTGAACCTCCAAAATACGAGTCTGTCCCTGAAAGCAGTATATTTATTAAAATTTGCTGAAAATATAATTTCTGTAAATAAAGTTGTATATAAAGCAAGATATACATTTTATAAATGAGGAGTTTGCTGCCTTGTAGGACCCTACATTATAGGTTGTTATGAGATAAATCACTTAGCCCAAGATGAATCTGTTTTCCTAAAACCCATGGGATTTACCTAAGAGCAAGTAAAGGTCCCTTAATGGTCATAATGTCTGCTGTATTGAGACCCAGTCTATAGGTCCCAGGACAGGGAGCAGGGAGAGGAGGGGGGTGTCTTGAGGATAGGGAGCAGAGAAGGAGGCTGTGGCTATGGGCTGAGATCAAGTGAGGGGGTCTGATATTCTAAATGGGAGAGATGAGAGTGGGGACTGACCTGAGGCTGGGCTTCAGGATGGCATAACTCACAATGAAGTGCACCTTCTCTAGGTTGGACATGGGTCGGTCTGAGATAGAGCCATCAGACTCGAATGCCTTTTCTCCAAAATTCAGTTGGTTGGCAACCTTGAAACCAAAAAACAGAAGTTAGGACCACTGTGATTTTCCCCATTTTCAAAGTAAACAGGGTTGAGATGGGAAGCAAAAGCCTGCAACCTTGTGGGTGGCAGAAGTGGGAGCTCCTGGCCCTGAGCTCACCTGGCCTGTGACCTGGGAGGAGCGTTTCAGTTTCATGAAGGAGATGTCTTTGGTCCCTCTGTTTCTGAGGCTGGGCCTCTGTGGACAGAGACAGTTTGTAAGTGAAGGTGAACAAGGGCAGCACCTCAACGCTGCTAACCTGACAGCCTAGAGTAGAAGAGTGCCCATCTCACCCAGCCATTTCCTATCCAATTTCTAAAACATCTCAGCTGGATTTTGCAACATGTACACATGTTCAGCATCATCCTCAATCCTGGGTGAGGACACAGAAGAAAGGGAAGGTGAGAGATGAAACAAGGCTGGTCTGCCAGTAACTGGCTCTCTGGGAGGGCTCAGGACCTTTATGACTCCAAAGTTTGAACCAGTCACCAGTAAAAACCTCTGAGCTGGGGCTGGGTCTGAGCCCAGGGGCCCTGGACAGCTCTAGGCCATAGTCATTCTCAGTGAAAACTGGGTGAATGAATTGGAATATGCTCTGCCGTGTCAAGGTGGGAGCCCTGCCAGGGTATCAAAAGAATCTAGGTTGCAAGGCTATCAGGACCCACTGATCTCATTAGACAGAGGTCACATCTTGTCTTGATGGTGCCATGAGACATGGCTGTCAACATTAGAGCTGAGCATGGGACTGGGCTTGAGCAGGGGTCAGCCCAGGTCCCAGGGCTAGGCACAAGCTTCTAGCTGGGGAAGCTGGTTTGCCAGACTCAAAAAGTGACACACATTAGCTGGCTCTATTTGCAGATGACATGAGTGTCTACATAGAAAATTCCAAGAAATCTATAAAAGTGAGTTCAGTAATGTTGCAGGATACAAGTTAACACATTAATCAATTACATTTTTCTATAGTAGCAAAGGAATACTAGTAGCAAAATTAAAATATAGTACCATTTACAATCTCAAAAAAACCCTATATGTGTAAGTCTAGTAAAACATATGTGGGGCATGTGTGCTAAAAACTACAAAACACTGATGAAAAAAAATCAAAATAGACCCAAATAAATGGAGTTCATGGATTGAAAGATTCAGCATAACAGAAATTTCAATTATCCTCAAATTGACATACAACAAAATTTCTATCAAAATACCAGCAAGATTATTTTTATAGATATGGGTAAGATTATTCTAAAACATATATGGAAAGGCAAGGAGCCTCGAATAGCTAAAACAACTTTTAAAAAAAATAATAAGGTGGGAGAAATTAGTATACACAGCTTCAAGACATTATATATGTGCAGTCAATAGGACAACATGACATTTGTAGAGGGACAGACACATAGATCCATGGGACAGAATAGAGAACACAGAAATAAACCCATTAATTTGCACAATTGATTCTTGACATAAGTACAAAATCAATTCATTGAATAATGAAAATCAGAGGTCTGACCTCAGGAAAACCAGTCCTGCTTCTCCCTGTGCTCAACCTCCAGAGGGGCACCATGGCTGGAATGCCTCTCAGGGTTCCTTGCCTGAGTGGCTGCCAGCCTCCACAGCAGTCCCCAGCTGACTTGACATTCCTGTCTCTCATGGTATGTGACTTCCAAGACTAGGCATTGCAGCTTCCTTCTGGCTTTCTCTCTTAGATTACTCACTGTAGAGGAAACCATGTTGTGACAACACAAACAGCCCTGTGGAGAGACCCATGTGGCAAGGCACTGAGGCCTTCTGCCAACAGCCACCTGAGGGGCATCTTGGAAGCAGATCTAGTCCCACTGGAGCCTTGAGATGATAACCGTCCTTGTCAACAACTTAACTGCAATCTCACGAGACCTCGAGCCAGACCTAAGCAGGTAAGCCCTCAGAAACTATGTGAGATAATAAATGTATGCTTTTCCAAGCTGCCAAGTGTGGGGGTACTATGGTGTGAAGTAATAGATCATTAATATACACCACAGAGTCCATACCTCTAGAGACCAGGGCTTGAGCCTGGGCATCTTCCATGTAATTCCAGGCTGGATGTGTCCAAGTGATCCTGGGCTGCAGAATAAGCCTGCACACAGTTTGCCCACAGGGCTTGATGTATGGGGCAGTCATAGGCTCCTGCTGCTGGAGGGCCCATGTGCAGTCACTGCTATTCCTTTGGACTACTCTTGGTTGGTTCAACTAAGATTATATCATGAACTAAATCCTTCAGAAGCACTTCTGACCAACTATGAATGTCAGTTAACCTTCCATCAGAGGTTAGGGTAGAACACTAGTTGACAGCTTGGACTTCAAATTCAGTGCAATAAATTCAAAGCCCAGTTCTGTCGCATGTATTCACTGTGATTTAGCAGTAACTCACTTCACTTCTCAGCTTCTTTAGCTATAATAAACATAAAGATCCCTACCTTATAGGGTTGGGTGACTTGAGAATTTACTGAAGAGAAGCTACTGGCTCATAGCACATTGTTAGTCAGTAATATCTGTTGTTATTATTATATGCATTTGACTCCTGATCAAGTAAACCCAATGTTCTAAGCTTGGGACCTTCTCCAATGATGACCACATAATTCAAAATGTCTTTAGTGTAATGCCTGACTCATGAGTTCCTGAGTGCAGTTCAAGAATTAAAACAAACAAGCAAGCAAAATATAACCAGAAACATTGAAATTAAGAACAAACTGACAGTAATCAGAGGGGAGGGGGGAGGGAAATAACATGGGAAAGAAGGGAAAGGGTCATCAACAAACATGTATAAAGGACCCATGGACAAAGCCAAAGGGGGGTAGGATTAAGGGTGGAAGGTGGGGGTGGGTAGGATGGGGGAAAGTGGTGGTGGGAAAATGGAGACAACTGTATTGGAACATTAATAAAAAATGATTAAGGACTTCCGCCAAGATGGAGGCATAGGTGGATGTGCCGTGCCTTCTCACACAACCAAGATTAGAGAAAACTAAATATTAGCAACAGAAAACACAGCCAGAACACGGAAAATTGAACTTTTCGGAAGTCCGTTAACAACAAATTCTTCAGCCTGACCGGTAAGGGGCGAAACCAGCGGCTGGCGGAGCAGGGTTGCACAGGAGGACTCAGCCAGACACACTCAGGCCCGCGGAATCCAGGCGCAGGGTCAGACCCAGTGAGCGACCCAGCGAGCAACCAGGCGAGCGACCGCGGGGGAGACAGCCGGGGCCGGGGCTGCGTGTTGACTGAGGTCGCGCATTTGTGCGAGGGTGGACAGGCGAGGGAGTGGGCGGTTGGACCGGGCCGGCAGGTCCCCGCGGCAAGCGGCAGTGGAGGGCGCCGCCATTTCCCTGCTCTGACCCCACCTCCACATACAGCGTCATAACCCAGCGACTCTGAGTAGCCCCGCCCAGGTGAACCACCTAAGGGAGAAGCGACAGAGGGGGTCGCCATTTCCCCGCTCTGGCCACGCCCCCACATACAGCGTCACAACCCAGCGACCTGGGAGTCCAAGGCGCCACTTCTCACACTTAAAGGGCCAGAACAGACCAAGAATGACGCAGGAGGATCTCAGAGCCCCAGAGCCAATAAATCTAAGCGATGCAGAAATAGCAAAACTCACAGACGCACAGTTTAAAACATTGGTGATCAGGATCCTCACAAAACTGGTTGATTATACCGACAAATTAGACAAATATATGAAGGCGAAACTAATTGAAATGAATGGAATTGCACAGGACACCAATAGCAATGAAAAGGAAACTGGGACTCAAATCAATGGAGTGGACCAGAAGAAAGCAAATAATGGCCAAACAGAAAAGAGTCAAGAAGCAAGAATTCAAAGAAATGAGGAGAGTCTTAGGAACCTCCAGGACATCTTTAAACGCTCCAACATCCGAATTATAGGGGTACCAGAAGGGGGACAGGCACAGCCACCAGTGGAAAACTTATTTGAACAAATAATAAAGGAGAATTTCCCCAATCTGGCAAAGGAAATAGACTTCCAGGAAATCCAGGAAGCTCAGAGAGTACCAAAGAAGTTGGACCCAAGAAGGAACACACCAAGGCACATCGTAATTACATTAGCCAAGATTAAAATGAAGGAGAGAATCCTAGAAGCAGCAAGAGCTAAGGGGACAGTCACCTACAAAGGAGTCCCCATCAGACTGTCAGCAGATTTCTCAAAAGAGACCTTACAGGCAAGAAGGGGCTGGAAAGAGGTATTCCAAGTCATGAAATCTAAAGACCTACAACCAAGATTGCTCTATCCAGCAAAACTTTCATTTAAAATGGAAGGACAGATAAGGTGCTTCTCAGATAAGATCAAATTCAAGGAGTTCATCATCACCAAGCCCTTATTATATGAAATGTTAAAGGGACTTATCTAAGAAAAAGAAGTTAAAGAAACATGAACAGTGAAAGGACAACAAACTCATAGTTATTAACAACCACACCTAAAACGAAAGCAAACTAAAAGGACAGCTAGATCAGGAGTGGAAACATAGAAATGAAGATCTCAAGGAGGGTTAGCAACAGGGGAGTGGGAGGAGGAGAAGGGGGGGAAAGGGACAGAAAATAAGTAGCATAGACAGTAGATAGAAAATAGAAGGGGGGCAAGAATAGCATGGGAAATATAGAATCTAAAGGACTTGAGACACATGGTCATAAACTAAAGGGGGGGTGATGGTGGGCATGGGGGGTAGGGTGGAGGGGAATAAAGGGGAAATAGAACAACTGTAACAGCATAATCAATTAAAAAAATAAAAAAAATGATTAAAAAGATAAAAAAGACAAACTTCTGGGATTAGAGAGTCCTGGCTTGGGCCAGGTTCAAGGTGGTACATGAGAGGGGACTCTGTGTCTTGTCCCCTTTTCCAGGCTTCCCCTGGGGCCTTGGGCCTGGCTGATGCCTAGTGAGTGTTTCCCCTTTTCTGTCACCATCTCCATCCACACACCTGTGCATATTTGTGCTGTGGAGACTGGGTGTTGCTGTCCTTGGCCATGATGTTATGGGTCTGCTGCATCACTGAGTTGTCACTCAGGTGGTTTCTGGCAAAGAGCACTGGCTCTGGAAGGTCACCCATGAATCTCAGGATGATGGGCCACACGGCCAGGGCACCCTGGGGAAATTGAAACAGAGATCCCAGCTGGAACTCAGCTTGCAGCATGGGGTCCACAGTGCAGACCAGGGGCTATGGGGGTGGCTTGAACCACTAGAAACCAGACAACTGCTAGGTACCGAGCAGTCAGCATTATCCTCATGGTAGAGCAGTGGATATTGAAGGTGCTTCCGGATATGAGTGTGGCTGGCTGATTTCTGGAAGTAGGTTGCAGCAAATTTGGGGAAGCTGTACTCAGCAAGGCTGTCCATGTCCTCCTCAGGGTCCTCCACCATGGGAACTGTGTCCAGGTCAACCTCGGGCAGTTTCTGGGTCTTTGTTTCCACATTCTGGGGACCCATGAGAAGGAGGGAGAAACATTAGCCTTCTTTTCAGATGTCATTCTTTCAAAGGTATGCATTTCTGGATGCCAGGAAGCCCCAAGAAGGGTCTGTCTGGTTATGTACCAGGTGCAAAGCCATCTGTCCACTCCCCCTTGTGTTGGAGACCTCTCCCACCCCACACTCTTGTTGGCCCCTGGTAGACTGCTGACTGAAGGATGGTCCTCGGTGTAAACTTCTCAGCCACCTGAGGACCCTTAGAGCCCCTGGCCAGCAGACATAGTCTCTCTAGGCTCCCTGCCCTCCTGCCTGCCCTCTGTCAGGTGCCCCTCTTGTGGAGGTGGCCCCTGTATCCCTACTAAACAGATGGAAGGGGAGGTGTATCATGTGTGCACGTACATGCATGAGTGAGGGAAAAGGCATGAAGCCCAGAACAGTGTGTGGTGAGAGTTAGCAAGACAGCTTTGGGAAGTTGCTTTTCTCCCACCCTGCTACCTCCCCCTCACACACTGCTTCTTCCTGCCAGTGGTCATTAGTTCTCAGCATCAGGTCCCAGGTACAGTCTGCAGAGCAGCAGCCACCAAAGTGCTCTGTGCAAGGGGTCAAATACAGGGGTAGAGGTGCCTGACTGAAAGCCCAATATTGTTTGCATATTAAAGGATCTAGAAAGTCTTGCAGGTAAGAAACCTGCTTACCTTGAAATTGTGAGACCACAAAATGCCATTCTCCCATTTTCTCTGCACACTCACCAAGGACTGAAGAACACACTTCAGCACCCATCCTGCCAACTCCCCCACTGAGTCTGCTTCTCATGAGCCTAGAGGCTGACTGAGGTCTGGACTGGGTGAGCCCATCCCCTCCCTGTCCAGATGGATCCTTGAAGGACAGGGCCTGTCTTACCTCAGAGTGAGGTGAGGCCTGGCCCTCCTGCCCCGCGATCATGGATGGGAGGAAGCCAAACACTTGCTCCACCATCTCTGTGTCTGTAACAGTGTTGTAGATTGACTTGCGCTTCCTGGTGGGTGGAGAACTCAGGCTCTTTGTCTCTTCACCTGGGATGACCAGCAGCCCCTGCACACACATCCCATGGGGAAGGTTATCCACAGACTCTGCTGGGGCAAGTACCTCACAGAAGCCAAATAAACCTGTTCCTGCCATCATCAATCCAAATCAATGTATTTTCCTCTAAAGTCCTAAATAGTAATAACTAGAGTGACTAGAGATTAATCAGCCTGGGCTTTTGATTTCCCAGTGGAGAATCAGGTCCAGAGAGAGAGGTTGCCTGCTTGTCCTTAGACCCACATGGTCCCTGAGGTACTGCCTCAAACCCAGGACCACCAGAACCTCACATCAAACCTACCTCATCCTTTATTCAAACAGCACCCAGCCTCTGCTGGGAGAGGTGCTAGGGCCTGTACTAACACACACAGGGTTAAGTCTAGATTGTGGCCTGCCTGCGGTCACATGGGTGCAGAAGCAGGCTGCTGACATATCCGAGGGTCTATTCTCTTACTTGCCCTGGCCACTATGACAGTAATGTGCTCACTACATCCAATTTTCATCAATAGAGTGGGATAAATTTCATCCTAGCCCCTCTTTTTTTCCTCACAGTTTTTAGCTGACTGAAGTTTAGTCTCAGGTGCCCTCTAGGGCAAATGGGATCATATGCTACTGCCTGCTCTCTGCCCATCAGCTTCTCCTGTCCAGATGCCCAAAGGCTTCTCTTGGTATTCCTCTGTGCCAAGCTCTCCTGCCACAGGCCAGAAACCAGAGGCCTTTGCTCTTCTCCATGGAACTGGGGCCTCTCATAGCTCATCTAGCCCTGATTTTCTGTGCCTTCCAGAAGATACACCAGTGCTCCTAAGAAATAGTACCCAAGGCTAACAAGAGGGGACCAAGGTGCTTGACTTCCAGGTTCTACCCTGCTGTCATAACCTAGGGGGTGACCTAGGTGTCCAGATGGCCTGAGGGCCTGCTGTGGTAATAACTTTGAACAGGAAGGAGATAGGACTATCTGGTGAGTGGTCAATATTGCTGCCCAGTCCTCCTGCCTGCCCTCCCCACCAGGGTCCCAACTGGGGCCTCAGGAGAGCAGTGACCACCTACATTGGCTTTCTGCCGCCAAAAATTCTGTCGGGCAGCCATGCCCCTGGCATATGCCTGGATGACCAATACTGCCCTCCTTTTGGCCTGTACTTCCAGGCGCACCAGGTAGCCCCTGCAAAGGGCCTGCAGTTGGATTGTCCTCTTCCGAAAGGCCTCGTACTGCCTCACCAGCAGGTGGCTTCGGGTGATGGCCTGCAGGCGCTCAAAACCCAAGAGGATCTGAGAAGACAAGAGAGATGTGCACTCACAAGAGTGTCTGGGCCCAGAGGGACATAGAGCACAGAGATGTCCTTTCCAAGACAGAGAGCAGGAGACAGGTAGTACTCCCAGGAGACCTTGGAAAGTAGCTTTATAGTTATCTGCTTTTTGGCAAAAAGCTGATGCTAAAATTTTGCACACCTGTGAGCACAAGCATATTAAGTAAGTTATTACTTGAAAAGCACTTAGAATAGAGACTGGCATGCAGACAAGTGCCAAATAAGTGTTTATTAAGTGGCATAAATAATAATATGATCTATGGGTGGCCAGTGGTAGAAAATTTGAGTGTCAATGGAAGATGGAATTCCAGAAACTCTGCTTTTCAGACCTACAGCAAAACCTAGCCAATTTCTCAGGAGCTAGCACACCTGTGTGGAGGCCTATGGCTGGCTCCATCAAATTAATCCCTCAAGGATCTTAAAAATAAAGAAGAAATAATAAATTGGTGAACACCCCCCTTTATGCTGCAAATATGCTCTGGGACACAAGAGTTCCTGATGCCCCTAGATGAGCCTTATTGGTTTATCAAAGACCAACTAAACAGGGCTGAGTGTCACACTCATCCTATGGGCTTGGATGTCACACAGACCTGCATGCAAACTCCAGCTCTACTGCTCACTAACTCTGTGCTTTTGGGGAAATTACTTAACCTCTCTAAGATTTATTCCCATGACATATAGAATTATATTTATTATTCATAATAAATATAATGGTGCACTTAAAGCACCAGGCCCAAGTAGCCTGTCCATCCTTGTCAGTTGGCTTTATGCCTTTGCAAGCATGAAACATGGACAGGCCTGAAATCAGTTTTGCTTATGTGACCACTGCATGTCCAAAACACAGTCACATCCATAACAAAGGCAAGCAGTCAAGTGAGGCTCAGTGAGGCATGGTCAAGGTTGTCCTGGTTCTTTGCTGAACAGGCACTCATTAGCAGTATCTATGGCCAAGAAAAAAAATATGAATTGCTTGAAACAGAGAATAATTGATCCATTAACTTATTTTGTAGCCTGGAAATTGGAAAAAGATAGCTATTATCTAATTTCAGAGAAGGAAATCTCATTTTAGCTATGGAGATGTCCAAAATGCTGCAGGAGAACACTTTGAAGCCCATGAACCACGTGACCCAGAACTATGCTAAAAAAGAAAGTGTGTGGGGTATTGAGTCTGGTAATTCAAGATCTGTTATCACTGCCTGTTAGTGATCTAATCCTTCCTGCCTGAGCTCTCATGCTCAGATAAACTGTTAACATCTGTTTTTATTGGACAGTTATCCATTTGCTCCTGCAGCCCCAGCTCCAAAGTCAGCTCTACTACCAGCTTGAAGTTCCTCTTGTTGCAGTAGCCTCTCCACCCTGCCTGAAGAGTCACAGCTGCGCGGCGCTGCCTCAGAAACTCTTTCCTAGAAAGAAATGCAAGTCAGAGTTGTGTAACAACCTAGTACATTTTAAAGTCTTTGGGGGTAAAAACTGTTTTTTAAGGAGAGAGGGATAATAAAATGTTGGGGAAAATAAATTCCTATAGCATTTCTTTTCTAGAAGCCTTTACAAGCCAAAGGAGACATGTTAGGAACTTAAAATCTACTGCCAACAGTAGATTTGTGAATGAGGGCAGTCCACTTTTTAGAGTAATCAACAACATCCTCATTCATTCCAAAAGTCTATGAGGAGGATAAAATCCATTTCCAATATTTTATTCCTTGCCAGAATGACCCTCCTCTGGTTGCTAACCCAGGTGTCCTGGTAGCAGGAACCAGAAGTTTCAAGACCAGAGCTCCTCTCTGGAGACAGATCAAGGCAGGAGGGCAGCCTCCCAAGCTCTGGCAGCCTAGCCAGCTCCATCCAATGGCTCCCTCTGCAAGGAGCTGGTGGGCTGAACACGGAGAGAGTAACCTGAAACTTGGCCTCTCTGGCGGTGGAGACAACCCCAGGTGAGTTTTATACATTTGCATTTATCTTTTGTTTCACATTTAACTTAGTTTCCTTATCACTTCTAATAATTTTTCAGGGTGTTTTCTTGGGTTTAGAACAGCAGATCTCAATCATATTAAAAATCAACTGTAGGGAGTGGGGGTGGGATGGGAGGAAAATCAGAAGAACGTATTGTACAAATTTCCAGTTCCAAGATAAGTAAGTACTAGTGACATAATGTAAGAAAGTACTAGTGATGTAATGTGCATGATGATTATAGCCAACACTGCTACATCATATATATGCAAGTTTTTAAGAATAAATCCTAAGAGTCCTTCTCACAAGGAAAAAAGTTATTTTTCTTTTTCAATTTTATATGAGATGATGAATATTTGTTAAGCTTACTGTGGTCCTCACTTCATGACATATATAAGAGCAGATCACCTTAAACTTATACAGTGTTCCATGTCAATTATATCTCAATAAAATTGGGGGAAAATCATCTGGGAAATTTCAATATTTATTGACATCTGTGCCCTGTCCAGTCTAAGTTTGAATCTGTTGATAGGAGTGGAGAATATATATCTGCATATATAGCTAATATTTTTGGTGCCTGTGCATATACAGATGATTCTAATATGAGGTAAAATTAAACAACTGAATTATCTAAAAATAAAGATAATTTTTCTTCTTTCCAATATACCAGTAGTTTTTCAACTGGGGGTGATTTTGGTCCCCAGATACATTTGGCTATGTCCAGAGACATTTTTGGTTGCCATGACTGGGATTAGAGGAGGGTGCTACTAGCATATCCTGAGTAAAGGCCAGTAACACTGTAAAACATCCTAGTAATACAATGTCCACGACAGTCCTCTACAATAAAAAGTTATACAATCCAAAATGTCAACAGTGCTTAAATTGAAAAACCCTGGTTTCTATCTTTTCTTTAATTATCTTGTCTAGTTGTATTGGTCATAACAGCAGTAACATCATTACTCATCAATGGAGATCACTTCTGAGAAAATGAAGTAGACATATTTTTCCCTATTCCTCCTGCTAACCATAACTAAAATCCCTGGACATTATATATAAAACAAACATAAGAAGGCTCTGAGCTATGGCTGGTGTGGCTCAGTGGATTGAGTGCTGGCCTGTGAACCAAAGAGTCACTCACTGGTTTGATTCTCAGTCATGGCACATGCCTGGGTTGTGGGCTAGGTCCCCAGTGTGGGGCACACAAGAGACAACCTCACATTGATGTTTCTCTCCCCTTCTCTATTCCATCCCCTCTCTGTAAAAATAAATAAATTAAAAAAACAAAGGCTCTGAAAAGTGGAGAGAAGAAAGTAGACCAGCTAGGTACCTCAGGCCCAAGGAAGGACACAGAGGTAACTTCTTTGGGTCTTCTTTCTGCCTCATATATCCTAGACTAAGAGCTGGTAAAGTCAGAAATCCAGAAATAGCAATGAACAGAGTACCAAAAAAGAAAAAAAGCCCCAGGAATAGAAGCCTTCTCTTTCTACCAAAAAGGATCCAGAAAGAAGCAGGTCAGTAAGACAAACTTTTAGATACAATGAATATACTAAAGCAAAAGATCAAATAGACAACTGTGATACCACCCCTACTTATACCAGAAAATGCCAAGTTGGGAACATAGGCATCCACCCTCACCAGAGCCATGTCAGAGAAGGCTAAGTAGGAACCATTCTTAATGGGCAGTAATGATTCCATCCCCTACAGTATCAGTAGAAACCACTGGGGGATCCTGGAATCCCACCATCAATTATCAGTTATGGGTGACCCCCCCCCCCATGTTGGAGCGGTATCAGAGGAGACCTAGTAGATAATCAGGGCTTTCATTATCCCTCAGAAGTAGCAAGGCTACTCCTTTCCCTTTGGTATCAGTGGAGAACATGTTGTGGGCAGCAGTAAGGCACTTATGGCCTTCTCAGCCAGAGTGGTGTCAGAGGAAGATAGCTAAAACTATTTATTTATTTATTTTAATTTTATTGATTATGCCATTACAGTTGTTCTATTCCCCCCCTCATTACCCTCCACCCCACCTCCCCACCCCCACCATTCCCCCCCTTTAGTTCATGACCATGTGTCTCAAGTTCTTTAAATTCTATATTTCCCATACTGTTCTTGCCCTCCCCCTATCTATTTTCTACCTACCGTCTATGCTACTTATTTTCTGTACCTTCTCCCCCCTTCTCCTTCTCCCACCCCCCTGTTGCTAACCCTCCATGAGATCTTCATTTCTATGTTTCCGCTCCTGATCTAGCTGTCCTTTTAGTTTGCTTTTGTTTTAGGTGTGGTTGTTAATAACTGTGAGTTTGCTATTCTTTCACTGTTCATCTTTTTTATCTTCTTTTTCTTAGATAAGTCCCTTTAACATTTCATATAATAAGGGCTTGGTGATGATGAACTCCTTGAACTTGACCTTATCTGAGAAATACTTTATCTGTCCTTCCATTCTAAATGAAAGTTTTGCTAGATAGAGCAATCTTGGTTGTAGGTCTTTGGATTTCATGACTTGGAATACTTCTTTCCAGCCCCTTCTTGCCTGGAAGATCTCTTTTGAGAAATCAGCTGACAGTCTGATGGGAACTCCTTTGTAGTTGACTGTCCCCTTATCTCTTGCTGCTTCTAGGATTCTCTCCTTCATTTTAATCTTGGCTAATATAATTATGATGTGCCTTGGTGTGTTCCTTCTTGGGTCCAGCTTCTTTGGGACTCTCTGAGCTTCCTGGATTTCCTGGAAGTCTATTTTCTTTGCCAGATTGGGGAAATTCTCCTTTATTATTTGTTCAAATAAGTTTTCCACTGGTGGCTGTTCCTTTCCCCCTTCTGGTACCCCTACAATTTGGATGTTGGAATGTTTAAAGATGTCCTGGAGGTTCCTAAGTCTCTCCTCATTTTTTTGAATTCTTGTTTCTTCACATTTTCCTGTTTGGCCATTTTTTTCTTCCTTCTGGTTCACTCCCTTGATTTGAGTCCCAGTTTCCTTTCCATCACTATTGGTTCCCTGTGCATTTTCCTTCATTTCAATTAGTTTAGCCTTCATATGTTCCTCTAATTTGTGACTAAAACCAACCAGTTCTGTGAGCATCCTGATCACCAGTGTTTTGAACTGTGCATCTGAAAGGTTAGCTATCTTTTGGTTGCTTAGATTTATTGGCTCTGGGGCTTTGAGCTATTCTTGAGCCATAATGTTTTGGTTTGTTTGCACCCGTTAATTATGAGGAACGGAGCCTTAAGTGTTCACCAGGGTAGGGTAGCCCAGGTCGCTGGGTTGTGATGTTGTATGTGGGGGTGGGGTCAGAGCAGGGAGATGGTGGCTCCCTCTGTTGCCTCTGGCAGCTGGGGCCTCCTCGGTCCTGTCTCACTGCCCACTCCCTCGCTGGTCTATCTGTGCACGAATGCACGACCACAGTCAACCTGCTGCCCTGCGCCCTTGCTGGGTCCACTGGTCACTCACTGGGTCACTCACTGGGTCCGCCATTGCAACCCCATGCCTGGATTCCTTGTGCCTGAGTCCATCTGACTGAGTTTTCCTGTGCAATATCGCTCCGCCTGCTGCTGGCTTCACCCCTCTTACCAGTCAGGCTGAAGAATTTGTTGTTATCAGACTTCCGAAAAGTTCAATTTTCTGTGTTCTGTCTATGTTTTCTGTTGCTAATATTTAGTTGTCTCTAAACTTGGTTGTGTGAGAAAGCACGGCGTCTCCACCTATGCCTCCATCTTGGCGGAAGTCCTCTAAAACTGTATATTTAAACAAGACACATACTTCTTATAACATAATGCCCCAAATGTCCATGTTTCAGTCTAAATTCATATCATACCAAAGACCTGGAAAATATTAACCTGAATGAAAAAAAAGACAACCAACAGATGCCAACACTAAGATGACAGATCTTACCCATTATAAAAATACTTCAATAATGCTTCTTTGAAACAAATGATAGAACAGAAAATCTGAGTAAAGAGATAGGAGAAATAAAGTAGAACCAACTAAAAATCTAAAACTAAAAATGCAATAACTGAAATAAAAGAAACTCAGCACACAATGGAGAGAACAAAGGAAAAAAATCAGTGAGATTGAAGAAATAGCAGTAGAAATTATTCAACCTGAAAAACAGAAAATCAACAGGAAGAGAAGGAACCAGGTACCTGGTTCCTCAGGTACCAGTGGAACTGTAACAAAAGATCGAGTATTTGTATCATTAGAGTCCTGGAAGTAAACAAGAGAGGCAGTGCTGAAAAAGTACCAGAAGAAATAATGGCTTAAAAGCTCATAGATTTAGCAAGAGATATTAACCTACAGATTTAAAAACCTGAGCAAACTCCAAACAGGATAAATGCAAATAAATGCACATCAAGACAGACCATACTAAAATTTATGAAAACTAAGAATAATGGGTCTACCAGGAGAGGAGAAGGAAAAGGGAACAGAGAGCCTATTTAAATAAATAATTGATGGGAACTTCCA